AACTAGCACAGGAGAAAGCTAGATGAGAGCAGAGGCATTTGTTGGGTGCATTTGTTTCTCTCTGCTCTTGACTGTGGATGTACTGTGACTAGCTGCTTGAGTTCCTGCCTTGATTTACCCTCAACAATGGACTGTGATGTTGTAAGCTGAATAAACCCTTTCCTCCCTTAAAAAAAAAAGTCAGTGCCTATTTTTCTATGCAGTTTGTTTTGGTACAGCAGTAGTGAGAACAGATGAAGCAGACACAGAGAGGAAATGACTACGTGATGTGCAACAGAGACTGTGGGTGTGGCCATGCCACCCTCACAGAAAGTGTTGTTGAGGAAGGCTTTAATACAAATGAGCCACTGGAGCCCTAAAGATGTCAAATTGACCACAATCAGTGTAACCCCTCTGATGGCACCAGGATTTTGACCATCTTACTGGGAACTCATGCTCATAGTTACCACATAATTTTAAAGCATATAACAGGGGTCTGTGTAATTATGTATGTATACAGATGTACAGGTAATGTACTTTTTAAATAAAGGAGCCCACTGCAGTGTAAATGTAGATTAAAATAGTTTGCTAAAATTTTTGTATTTATACCCAGGACAGGACAGATGACTCAAAACTGTAGGATAAACTTACAGATACCCAAATTTTAGGTCAAGGGAGTACAAACATTTTTATATTAAGCATCACTGATGATTCACCTGTTAGAATTTCATAAGAATTCTGCTCTGAGTCCTTATATCTGAAAACAGAAAAAAAAAAGTAGGAGGTAACTTTTTGCAGTTTAGACTTTGAATTCAGACTCCCTGGTTCTCTTCTCATGCTGTGACCTTGGCAAATCTCTGAAACCTTCTGCCTCAGTATGCTCCCATATACAGTGGGGTTGTTATGATTATCAAGTGAATGGATGAAGGTAAAGCACTGGGACCAGAGCCAAGTGGAAAAGGGCCACTGAGCTGTGGCCTTTTTTTTCTGAGATTTATTTTTATTTTATGCATATGAGTGTTTTGCCTTCATGTAAGTACACCAAATTCGAGCAATATCTTCAGAAACCAGAAGATGGCGATGGATCCCCATGGAACTGGAGTTACAGGTGGTTGTGAGTCACGGCATGTATGCTGGGAATGGAACTCTGGTCCTCTGCAAGAGCAGCCAATGCTCTTAACTGTTGAGCCATCTCCCCAGCCCCTCCCCACCTTTTTTTGTCACCTTTCTTGTTGCTAAGAGTCTTTGGAATTACAAATGTCCAACAAATGTGATGAATCTTTGCACAAAGCTCTTTCAGAACAATCACCTAGGCAAGGACCCCATTGTAATGTCTAACATACAGTGGGTAGCCTGCCCCAGCATGTGTGTATAGATTTATGGGCAGAACAGGAATCCAAATAGAGGGGAGTTGAGGGACTCACACTTGTCAAGTGCCTGCTGTATGCCAGGTGTTTTACACAGGGAATGCTATGCACCTTAACTGTTCTCCTGAGAAAGGAATGTAGGATGACCTGGAACATGTGGGCTGTGCCTTCCTGTTCTCTCACAATCCTAAGGCACTGGGGTGTTGGGAAATGATAAAGGTGCCTCTGGGGGACCTCACTCTACCCACTGTGGCACTGGAATCTTGGTCTCAACAAACTTTGCTTTGAATATACCAGTCTCATCTACCAGGCAGTCTCGGATGGCAGCTGTCCTAATGCCACCACTTCATAAGAGCCCCTTTGAGTCTGTGCGTCAATAGGAAAGTGAGGGGTGGAGTGGGCCACCAGCAGCCCACAATACTGTAGCTGCTGGGGAGTAACAGCTCAAAAGCACTCGTGGAAAGCACACTGCAGCATGGTTATGCTATAAAAAGACTAAGATGCACTCCTCTAAAAAAATCCCACATGAGCCAGGAGAGAGTGCCACTGTGGCTAAGTGACAAAGTGAGGAAGCAACTTTCGCTAAACTGGAAAACTAGTGTAAGTGAGGCTACACAGAGATGCTGACGAACTCCACATCACAGCCAGACCCGAATTAGAAGTTGGCCAGCAGTGAACACAGTAATGAGGCTCCCTAATGGATTCCAGTGAGAATTCTTCATACCCTTAGGCCTAATAGACCAGCAGCATGAAGGGGGCCCTGGGGATGAATGTGCTCTCACCAAGGGCCAGGCTGGCTGGGTGGCTCACTAGCACCTTGCCCCCAGAGGTGGAGGGGTGGCCATATAGGGAGGACAAGAGGCTGCCTCCTCGACCCTCAAGCCTACAAGTAGCCTTTTCTAGCCTCCATCCTAGTTCTCCCTTCTCTCTGGACCCACTTCTTGCCCCATGAACCTAGCTCACCTCCCCGCAGCCCTCCGCAGACCCTCACTGGGGCTTCAAGGCAGAGCTCCCAGTGATGTTGCTGTCCTGCATGGCTGCAGCTGAGGACAAAACAATGGTTATTTCTGACTTTGGTTTGGAGGTGATCATACTTCAGATTCTGTTGCATGATGCTTTTACATTGCTAGTCTCTGTGGCTCTAAAATTGCAAAGCCTTAGTTCGATTGTTTGTGCTATACATATGGTTCAGCACCTTGAGATGGAATAAGGTGCTATACAGATACTTAGAGAATACCAAAGGAGAGGGGCTTGGGGGGACCGGCCAGGCTGCTGCCCTAGCTGGGCTGTGTTCTTGTGTCCATGTTGTGGGACATAGAGCCTGAAGTAGGAAGGAGAGACAGGCAAGAAAACAGGAGTGGCTGTGTGTGTCCTATCCCACCCTAGCCTCTGACCGAGACAGAAGACAAACCCAGGGGTTTTTGGAGAATCTACAAGGATCTCACTTCACCAGCTTAACTACACACACACACACACACACACACACACACACACACACACTTGTATATATGCATATATATGTTCATGCCATGATGCGCACATGGAGGTCAGAGAACAACCTGTGGAAATGGGTTCTCTCCTTCCACCATGTGGGTCCCAGAGATGGAACTCAGCTCATCAGGGTTGGCTTGGCTGCAAGTGCTGAGCCATGTCATCAGCCCACTTGACTTATTTTTGACTTTGAGGAGTGGTGAGCCCCTTCTTGCAGACTTCAGCAGTCCCTGGGTGCACTGCACCAAGCACCCAGGTAAGTGGCAAGCTTCTTCTCTCTCAGCATCCCAGCAGTCTCAGGCGCACCACCGGTCTCCTGACCTGCCTCCAGCCCTGGGGACGACTGAAGAGAGAAAATGTGCTCAGAGCTGTGCATTATTTATCTTCTCAGTGTGTCATTCTGATTTAGGCAAACCGAAAGATGTGGTTTTCTGGAGTCATTTGTCCCTGCCGTTATGGTTCTCTAGCTTAGGAGTGGTGAGACTGCCTGGCGCTGCTGAGAATGCTTCCTGCCCTGGGCGTGGCATTGCTGGCAAGCCCTAGGAAGCTCAGGGTCTGCTGATCAATACTGTGTGGCCCTTGAAGCATTATGACAAACACCTATACTTCACTATGTGAAAGGAAACCACAGGTGATCTTTGCCTTTGGAAGTTTGTAAATGTACTTGCAACTTTGAAAGTTTTAAGTCTTTTTGAGACAGCGTCTCCCTATAGCGTCAGCTAGCCTAGAACTCACTATGTAGACAAGGCTAGCCTTGAATTCACAGAGATCTGCCTGCCTCTGCCTCCCAAGTGCTGGGATTAAAGGCTTGTGCCACCACACCCGGCATGCAACTTTGAAAGTTTTAAAGTAGCACTACTCATGACAGACATTTAGCTTCAGCTTCTCCAGTCCATGAAGTCCCTGTGGCTTCCCACTAATTCCTGGCCAACTTGATGCTATAATCCAATCCTCACGATGTTAGCTGTTAACCTGTTTGCTAGCAACAAGGACAGTGGTTCTTGAACCTGACCCCATGTATCAGTGGCATCTGTTCTGGCAAGTTCTATGAATTAGGTTTCTAGATACAGATGTGCTTTGGGGGAAAATATAGAGCCCTTTAGGGAAGAAACAAGTATGTTCTCTGGGATTTGCTGCATGGGGACAGAATGGGAAGGGTTTAAGAAGTTTGGGAGTTGTTTCCCTTTAATGTCCCTCTGTATCATATGCACGTGTGTGTGGTTTCAGAGGCTGACTAGGCCTAGCTATAGCAGGTGGGAGTTTTTCAGGGCTGAGGTTCCCACTTTGACCAATCAGCCGTGAAATTAGAACTTAATCATTTGGTCTTTCTGGTTGAAATTTCTAAGTGAAGTTCCTGCCTCTAGAAATACATCTTTCCCATGCACATCTAAAGTCCTAATGATATCCAGTCCTGCTGTGACATGAGTATATAACCACAGCTGCAGTGAACCAGCCCATCGTTCTCAGAGGCTCTTCCTTTCACATCTGTGCCCAACTCAATCTGCCCAAGGCCCTCTGGATTTATTTTTTAAACCCAAATATAACCCTGAATTTGATGAATCCAACAAACAGCTGCCAAAAATGTGTCCTCTTTTTGGGCTTTGACAGCAGGTAGGCCTGCTCTGAAATTCCTATTAATTACTGTGTGGTCTTAAGCAAACAGTATAAACTCTCTGGTCCTCAGCTTCTTTCTCAGTGAAATGTGGCAGGGAGGATTTAGTGAGGTGGTGTTTTTATTTTTTATTTATCTTCATTATATGTGTATGAGTGTCTTGCCTGCATGTCTATTAGCGCACCATGTGCCTGCAATGCCCACAGATATCAGAAAAAGGTGTCAGATCCCCTAGAACTGGAGTTATGGATAGTTGTTAGCTGCCACATAGATGCTGGGAACTGACCCTAGTCTTCTGCAAGAGCAGTCAGTCTCTTAACCACTGAGCCATCTCTCCAGCCCAAGGTGGTGTTTTTATATAGTGCCTATTCCATGTGGCACTCAGTTGTCACCAGCTGTGCAGGTGGGATTAGTTCACCCTCCCTGCCCATCTCCTAGGATCCTTATAATGGTCTATGTACTTCTCTATGTTTTTGTTTTCCTTTTGGCTCACCTATTTTAAAACACCCTTCCCTAAAGGTGCACAAGACAGAAATGAGACCAGGACACCATTACCAGTGAAAGTGTTTAATAGTTAAATTATTTAAATAGACTTTTCAATTTCCATGGGAAATCATAATCGTATCCGTTTTTGCAAGAGCAGGAGTAAAAAGAGTGCACACATCCCTTAGAAGGAACAAAGAGCTAGCACTGCACGCTGTCACCAGTCACTGCTGGGATGGGGAGGGGCCTTGGCCAGCAGGGAGAACACAGCGTAAACTCAGCACACACACTGTACTGGGGTTGAAAGCAAATGAAAACCCACCAGCCTTGGTGGGGTATGTGGAGGGCGGGGAACTTGTGAACAATGCGTGAGAGAGGCTGCCCCAGTGCCAGAGGCCTGGGGCAATGCGGAACTCAAAGAGTGGAGCAGCAGCAGCAGCGCAGGACAGGCTCAGGCCTGGCAGTTTTGGGTCCATACACCTCGCTTCTCGGGACTGTGTTCAAACTGGGGTGGGAGGTGGAGCATGGGGAGGGAAGGATGGGACATCAAAGTAACTACCACTTCAGCAGTTGGCACGTAGCTGCCACCTCATCCTTAAGCTCTTGTTGGAAGGGAGAATAATTCGGCCCTGAGAAGCAATGAAAAGATTTGGGTACAAACCATAAGATGCTGTTTAAGTGTATCTCTGTGGTAGAATATCATTTTCCAAATGCATCCCTCAGAAGTTATAAAAATAATATTTTCACCCTCGACATACTTAACTGTCCCCTCCCATCAAAACCAAAACTAGACAAAGCAAAAATTTTGTTAGCTTTTCCCTATGAATTCCAATGTTGGGGTCTTCCCATTCCTGTATCTGCAGGTGGAAGGTATTTCCTCAAACATGGGGCCTGCATATTGCATCACCAAGTCACAGAGGTCACCTCCAAGGACAGTTTCCTGTACCTGGGCCAGCTGAGCAGGCCACATAGGCTGGGCTTCTTCTAGCCCCCACCACTGCAGTGCTCCTGGGAGTCCTTAGAAGCCATCTCTGTGTCAGAACCTTATACTAACACCTCCGGGCAGGGAGGTGTGTGTGGGGGGTGGGGGACGACAGCCCTGGCAGGTGCAGGCTACTTCCCTTGCTTTAGACACAGCCTGGGATGGGAGAGGAGCCTTCTGACTTCCTGTTCTGTGTATATTTTCTTGGGAAATGGGATGTGTGTGTGTATAGGGGTCAGGAAGGAAGGAGTACTATGTTCCTGTGTCTTCCTACTTCATCTAATGTATCATACCCCAAAAGAACACACACCCTGCTCTGGTTGTGCCCAGGAAAACCAAAAACTGCCAAGTCTGAAATGAAGGGAATGCACCCTGCAGGGGACCAGCTCCACAGCATGATACACATGTACACCAGTACACACACTGACATACGTATAATACAGATGAGCAGAAATGCCCAGCTGTGCACAACTGTTTTCTAATATAGAGAATTTACAAAATATAGAATTTGGTATCTCTCTTAGATTTCCAAGGTTTTCAATAATACAGAATAAAAAATACAAAAAAGACAAGTTGGGGTCCCCGCCCTCCCTCCCCAGTGGCATCTTCGTTTGCTTGTGTCTCTTACACGCATACAACTAGCATAGTCTAAAGAAGGGCACGGAAAACTTGTTTTATTTTATTTAATAAATATTTTCTTTTGCTCAGAGCCCCCACTCCTTGCTTGGTATCCTCCTGCCTCCCCCTTGTCAATAGTCCTGTTTCCCTCACAGGGTACTGTGTGTGTGGAGGTGTGGGCAGAGGATGGGAAAGGCCAAGCCTCTCCAAAACCAATGCTCCTGCCCCAAAGCACCGCCAGGGAGCAGGGGGCGTGGCCTCTGAAATTTAAAGGCTTGCTTGGAAAAGCAGACCATTAAGGTCCCTGGGCATCCCCAGGCCAGCTTCGAGCTGCCTATCCATTGTGGCCAAGGCCTCTCCTCAGGCCTGCTCAGGCTGTGCGCCATGCCACGCCACCGATGAAGGCTCCAAGGGTGCCTCCAACAGGCAGCAGCAGCACCTGTCAGAAAACTCAAGGCTCAACGCGAGTCTAGCCGAATCTTCTGCCGAGGGAAACATCTTTGGTCAGCTTGGTGCTCAGGATGCTGGCACCCAGGGCCTGGACCAGAAGCCACGCCCGCCAGCAAAGGCAGAAGCTGCCTCTCAGTCAAAGTGGAAATCTCAGCAGCGGGGCTGTGAGGCTGGAGCGCAGCCCCACATGCCCAAGGTGCACAAAGAAGCCAGTCCGTTCCTCTGGAGGCCAGGCTGCTGGCACTGCTGTGGCAGCTGCTAACTGAGGGGGGGCCCTCCATTGAGGAAGTAGGTCATCATCTCACCCTTGCCCTTGACTTTGACCACACCCCGGCACTCCAGCTGGTATGTGTTGGCGGCCAGCACCTGGTACATATCTGTAGTAACCTGAGGAGACATAGGAAGGGAGAAGTCAGGCTATTAGTGACCTTAACTGTGAAGTACATCTGCCTCCATGTGCCCTGACATGGGGTGGGGCAGGCCCTCTGCCTCCATCTCTTGGGGACAACTGAGGGTTCATTCATGGAACTGCTTAGAAAAATTAATGGTGGTAGCTATGGTTGTCAGCACCTCCCTGTGCTGGGTACCGGAACCAGCATCTCACATGTGCCACTTCGGTGCTACTTGTGTGGCATGGGGTCTGAGAACTGTGTTTTGGAGCAATCAGATGCTGCTAGAGCCAAGAGCCCAGGGTGGGACCAGGGACTCGCCCTGAAGTATAGCTCCAGGACAGATCAGAGAATGATGCTGTCTCATTTCATCTCTCTGTAGGGAGCAACTATTATTCCACTCAGGCTCAGGAAGCATGCATCACCTACCTGTGGTTACACAGTTAATAATGGCAGGGCCTGGACTCAGCTCCAGGTTTGGGCTCATCCCTGCTTTAGCTTTGGGGGCAAAGAAAAGAATTCACTGGGGCTTCATCCATTATACTGTCCTATGCTGGTGAAGGTGGAAAGTGAGGATGCCAGGAGTGGGAGATGGCAAGATGGCCAATGCCTCATGGGATGATGCAGGTGCCATCCTGAGTACTGTCAGAGCTCCACTGTCGTGCTGCCACACAACTGCCTGACATTGCTGAGCTAGTCTGCATGGTAGGACTCTAGTGAAGGTGGGGTGCTGACAGACTCACACTGAGCTCTGTGTGGATTAGAGGCTCTGCGTGCATGCATGCATGCACACACACACACACACACACACACACACACACACACACACAAAACTTCCCCTCCTCAGGCCTCTAGTTCTCATCTAGCAGTCCCCTCTTCTTGGCACAGGAGTAGAGGCAGGAAAAGGCCTGGCACCTTGCACAGCATCTACAATTCAGTCAGGCCAGGTCTATCTGGTGGGGCTGTGCATGGAGGCACTGCAGGGCAGACAAGTGAGGGGACATCAAGCAGTGTAATATAGCAAAAGACCTTTAAAATGGTACAGTTAGCACTTGAGAAAACTGAGGCCAAGGATGCTGACTTCCCATGGCCTCACAGGAACCTGCAGGTGAGGCAGTACACAGAGAGAGCCCAGTTCAGGGCATCCTTGTGTCAGAATGGAACAAGAACCATGGAAGTTCCAAGGAAAATGAAGAAAAGGTGCTGAAGAGCTGCAGGTCTGGGGATCATGAGCACCAACTTGCAATAGATAGAGAGAGACAAGGAAGGGCCTGGACCTCTGGCTTGCCTCTTGACTACTGGGGCTGGCAGAGACACCATAAAGGATCAGCAGCCTCATCCAGTTCTCTTGAACCAGGCCTGGAAAACTTTGAGTTCCACTGGTTAAGGCCTGCCCCCTGCAGTTGTCTACATCCCTCTGCAGCCTTGTGTTAGGAAGGCCCTGGCTTCTGATTTGCACGCTTACCTAGGCCTGCCCCTACCCAATTTCCTTCTGTGCACAGTAGAGGGGTTCAGAGAAAGCCTGAAACTCTGTCCAAGGTACTGAGGACCTAAACCAACCCTTTTTCTCAAACTACTAGGATGCCATCCCCAACTGACCCATCACTTTTGGATTTGAAGAGAGCTTTTAACAGGGAATTGTGGGTGGACTGCAATGAACACTCCTAACACCAGCACGACAGGGGCCTTCATGTGAGTGCCGCGTGGTGGGTGTGCTTGCACTCACCTGGATGCGGTCAGGCACCCCAGTGCTATCCATGCGGCTGGCCACATTCACTGTATTGCCCCAGATATCGTACTGAGGCTTGCGAGCTCCAATGACCCCGGCCACCACAGGGCCAATGTTGAGCCCTGTGGGGACAGAAATCAGCCATACTCAACACCGTAAGACCAACACGTACCTTGTTTGTCCTTGCTAGTGTTCCTCTCTCAACATACTACAGCTACTCCCAATCCCTGGCATGAACTCCTTGCATGAACAGCTGGTGAATGGCCTAGGCTTAACCCTACAGTCTCCCACTTGTATCTACCCATTCTTGCTAGTGTAAGACAACAGGGCTTGTGCATGCATCCACTGCTACTGCAGCCTCACCTCAACCCTTACAAGTCTGCTGCCAGGAGTGTCCCCTTCAAGATCTCCAGTGACATTCTACGTTACTCAGTGCTCTTTCTTAATCTTCCCTCTTTTGGTGATGTTGATGTTTCCAGTATCAACTCAACATGGTGAACTCACCCCTTATTTCTTCCTCCTGCTTCTCATTCTTAGATTGGCCTTGCTCCTAACCCATTTCCCTACCCCAGTCTCTTTTCTCTCCAAGCCCTGTCATGCCACATGTAGATTTTTAACACCACAGGCTATCCCTATGCTGGACTATCCACCTCGCTGGTCACAGTCAGCTCAGGTAATTTCTATTTCCAAAAGTCATGCCCACCATGAAGACATTCCTATGTCTGCAGGAATGGATCAGCCTCAAGGAGACTTAGCCATCCCCTGGTATAGTCTGTTACTTTATCCCCAGTCTTATCTAGTCCAGTTGTTGAGACAGTGCACAAAACTATACACCAGGAGAAACACAAGCTACTGTAGGTGGATGAGATGGGGAAACAACCTCAGAGTAAACACACAGACACAAGAGGCATGTTGGCTATAGCGAATGCCTGGCCTTCAGTAGCCATGTCCTATGTTCAAAGCACTATGCCCAGGGGGCAAAAGAGGCAGCTTGCCCAGGGACAGCCCAATTCCCGACACATAGACCAGAACAAAATGTCTCCTGGGGACATTAATGATCACAATATTGGTTTTTAGTAACCCAATATTTCAATTTAATGTGCTAGTTTTGAGAATTGAATTGCCAGTATTTTTTGTGAATTACTCTTACTTTCTAAAAATTTGACATCTGAATCATTTATGACTTAAGATATACCCAGGGAGTTGATAATGCATGAAACCTTTAACTAGAACAAAGATCTGCCCTTTCAGAAAGCATAGTCTGTCTCCACAAACCTCAAGAGAAGGGAGGACTGCATTTGACAAAGTTCACATTACAAAAGGAACTGGCTCTCTTGGATAGTGCAGCCGTAAAGTGAAAGCAAAAGAGGTGCAGGAAAACCTTGCACCTTCTAGAACAGCATACTCTGAGCTGCAATACTGAAAACATTTTGTGGATGGAGCAGGGGGCATGTGTGAGTGTGTAGATGTATGTGAGTTTTCACTGGACTGTTCTTTAAACTCCTGCAGAGTTGAAACTTGTTGGAATAAAGGGATAGATGGGGCCATAGATAGGACTTAGCCGGTGAAAGCACTTGCTACTAAGCCAGACAGCCTGAGTTCAATTCCCAGGACCCACATGCACACACACAAAATTACTAAATAAATAAATATAATTTAATTTAATTTTCAAAATTAAAAAGCAGGATGGATAATGAAAAGATATCCAAGAAATACAAAAAGAAAATACTATGAATTTTTGGTTCGGGTTTCCTTCCCTTTGGGCAGTGGCGGTGTTTGTCACTTTAAGATAGGGTTTTGCTGTGTTGCCCAGTTAGCTTCAAACTCCTGTGCTCTAGTATTCCTGTTGCCTCAGTTTCCTGCATAGCTGAGATTACAGACACATGCCACCGTACCCAGTTCTTCCAAGATTTTTGAACAAATATGTGGCCCTGACCAATCTGAAACCAACCCATGACCTCTGCTCAGATCCCCCTCACTCCTCTGCAGTGGCTCCTGCTGTTGCCTCGGGATACCACAGGAATGTCCACCAAGGTCCCTCAAAACCATCCCACAGACATTTGTCAAGGATGGCGTCCAAAGCAGATGATACAGCTCAGTTAGTAGAGCACTTGTCTGACATAAGTGAGGCCCCAAGTTCAATCCTTAGTAACCAAAACAAAACCGAACTAATACGGAGTACAGTAACAATACAATCTTGACACATCACACCCTCCCCACTGCCCACCCCGGTGTGTGTGGGTTTCAAAGCTTCAGAGCAGCTACAGTTGGCTCACATCCGAAACTCAGTTACCCACTTTAAGATTACTCTGCTTTACAAGGCTAAAATATGCTGGGTATGGTAGCTCACATCTGTAATCCCAGCACTTGGATGCTGAGGTAGGATTGTCAGCACAGAGTATCCCCACAAAGCCTTTCAGGCAGGCCTATCCTGGGCCCAGTCAGGCTTTCCCAATAACTGGCAAGGTTGAGAATTCAGACAGATGCTCTGCCCTCTTCCCCTGCAGGTCAACATGAAGAGGCAGTATCACTAGGCTATGCTTCTACTGTGTGATGGGTGCCTGTCTCAGCAACTTTGCGCAAGGAAGTGTACTATCATGCCAGCCTCTACTGCCTTGCCTTTGCTGCTTGACTGAGATAACAGTTACAGAATGGGGGGCACCTACAGAGCCCTCTGCACCCCTCAGACCCCTCACCGATCTTCATCTGGAAGTTGTTGAAGGAGTGCTCGTTGATGTACTTCATTTGGTCCATCAGTTTCATAGCAAAGTCAGCCAGGGCTTTGATGTGGGTCTTGCCTGCCTTGTCATAGGTGGAGTCATTGAGGCCAGAGGCAGCCATGTAGGTGCTACCGATGGTCTTGATCTTTTCCAACTGCCTGAATCGATCCTCGCTGATGATCTGGACAGAAGAGACCCAGACCTGGGTCAGCTCCCAAGCCTGGACACTGAGGTCCACAAAGAGGGATGGGGAGGTAGATGGGTAGTACAGTAACATGGTCCTCTCGAGTCCCCTCTTCAAACAGCAGGGCAACTGACTCCGAAAGAGGTCTCCGTGGCTCTGTGGCAGAGCTAGGCCTCTTCCACACTCACCCACAAAACTGAGTCTGTGGCCTACCTGCTCATGTCCACACCAAGAGCCCTGAAGGACAAGGTCACTGGGGCTGGCAGCTGTCCCCACCTTTAGGAGCTCACATGCCTCCTACTCAGGGGAATCACTCTCATCTTTATCTAGTGAGTTACACTTTTCCTAATTCCCAGCTTTCTGGAAGCCTCACGGACATCTTCATCCAACTCCAGTCACTGCATGCCCTGGGGCACTACCCAGTCCCAGTCCCTCAAGTGCTCTGTATCAGTCCCACTGGGTTGTGCCTCCCACACTCCTGATACAACAAAGAGGTCCCTGTTGGCTGGCATATGCTGGGTGCTAAGCAAGGATGTAAAGAATAAACGAAGGAATGGCTTCTTTCTGCCCCTACTGCCCAGGGCCTTTTTTATGCCTGTTCCTCCCTTGCCCAGGCTTCCTTCCTCTAACTCTCTCAAAGCCCTTGACAGCCCTTGACACAGAGACTGTGCCATCTCGGGCACTGGAGCCCTGATGGCTCTAGTTCAAAGAGCTTAATCAGAGACCCTAGCTCTGATGCTTCAGTAAAATGACCTTAGGCAGAACACTCAAGGTGTGAGGGCCTCAGTTGTCTGATCTGTCACATGTGCCAGGGGCCTATGACAGCACCTGAGACACAGCCAGAATCTTCCCTTCAGAGCCTCTGATACCACTGTTCACCCCTAGATGTGGGGAGGGGATCCTGGGGACCTGTGAGACCACCCCCAGGATCACCTCATCAAAGTCAGCGATGATCTCGTTGAGCAGCCGCAGGCACTCGACGCCCTCATTGTTGGCCTCCAGCTCCACATAGAATTCGGAGAAGTTGGCGATAGAGGCAAACATGACAGCCACACACTCACAAGACTGATAGTAGAGTTCATCGTTGCGCCGCTCACGGGCCAAGAAGTGGGCAGCCACGTCCTTGGGCAAGATGTTGTGGAGCAGCCTCCGGTTGTAGGCCTGCAGCTCCTCCATCTCTTCCTTCTCCTCCGTGGCCTGCAGACAGAGAACCCAGTGATAGGGGACTGAACAACCGTGCCGCTTAGAAAAGGCAGAGCAAGTCTTGCCAATGCCCAGGATGTCAGAAAGTGTCCTCCTCTCTGCAGTTTCCATTTCCACATGTTCTCCAAACAGTACAAATGGCCATGGGAAAAGAGGCACAGATGAGTGGCTGAGGCTCCCACTGCCTCTGACAAAGAACACACATGGGGGAAACGGGGAGCAAGAGGCCCGGCCCTGAAACTGGGGGCCAGGAAAAGCAATGATCCAAATCCACACTGGAATAGCCCTCACCACTCTGCATCCCTGCGTTTTCCTAATAAGATCAGGAAATGCTTAGAACAGCAGCCAGCCAGAGCACCTTCAATGGACTCATCCCATGTTCTCCCCATCTCTGCTTCTCATCAGAAAAAACTTGTTCTGGAGCTAGACAAGACCAGCTGGCCGGGGGAATGATGCCAGCTGGGGTGGAGAGGAGACATCACTGACTGACTTTGGTCCCCCGCCCAGTTTGGGTCCTGAGTCTGCATACTTGGAGTTTTTGATCATTCACCTTCAAGCACAGAGCCCTTGCTTGAGGCTAGTGGTAGCCCATCAGGGACCAAAGCAGAGAGGCAGTCATACATGGAGGTGTGGCAAGAAATCACTCAAAGAGATTGCAGAGTGGAGTTAGCTGTCTCCAAACCCTTGATGGCAGACAAAGGAGTCCCCTTCCTAAGAGTGACTGTGTTGGTGAGTCAGGCAGAGAAAGGATGGCTAACAGGGATGTTTAAAAGCCCGGCTTGGCTGGGCTTTCCTAACTAAACATGTGTTTCACAGAAACTAGATTCCCCAGTAGGGCCATGACTATATCTCAGGACCCTGGTCTCTCTGTAGGCAGTGGCTGTCTGAGGAAGGGAGCTGGCACATCTTTCCAAGACTGTAGAACCCAAAGCCTGAGGGAACTGAGAGCCCTAAGGCAGAAGGCCTGGGGGACCCCCACCCTCTTACCCCCACAGGTACAAGGACCTCCTCATGTTCATAGCCAGGTGATTTCTGGAACCATTTAAGGTGATTCGAGAACTTATGTTATACTTGCAAAGCTCCTGGACCCAGAGGGACCCTACACAGCCCCAACTCTGCCACTCTGAGATGCTAGGTAAGTCCAACAGTAAGCACCAACTTCCTGTCCAGCCTTCAGCCTAGAAACTTATACTCCTATGAAATAAGCACTTTGACCATGTCTCCTCCCCATGAATAATAGCTACCTATACCTGCTTCTGGAACAGATGGCCCTGGAGAGGAGGCTGGAGTGGGAATTCCTGAATCCCTGTTGTGGACTGACCCATGAAGAATCTGGGCAGTGGCCCATCTGACTCTGAAAATGCTCCATACTGCTAATTGCCCTGCACCATCACCACCAGACCACATTCCCGGGCTTTTGAAGGCCCTGGGCCTGCCAGCTCCTTTGACAACCTAGCAGGTAATAGAAGCAGGACATATGCCCTTCCTATAGGGTTCCTGCCTAAAGTGTCAGTCACAGTGGAATGGAGGCTGGGGGCAGAAATACTGGAGCACAGCCACTGTAGGGGACAGAGACAAATCCACTAGGCCTGCAAGGCACTCCCACCACATCAGGAAACTACCCCAACACAAGTTGGGCAGCTGTCAACTTGGACAACTGCTTCGAGGGCCAGGCACAACAGGACAGGAAAACCAGGGGCCCATAACCTCTCAGTGGTCCTAATAGAGCTAAAGCTTCAGGAAGGGACAGGGTGGGCTCTCCCCAGAACTGAGACCAGGGTCAGGCCAGGAGAGGCTGCTGCAGGCAGAGCTATGCTTCCAGTACAGGAGCTTCAGAAAGGCTGAGGTATCCCAGGCAGTTCTCTGTCAGCACAGGATCTCCTACCAGGGCTGCAGACAGGCGCAAAGACAAAGGGCAATAACGGGTGGGGAGCGAGGATCACTTCTTCAATGTAAGGCTCACTTGTGGCTTTCTATTGCTATTTGCTGGCTGTTGTTCTCTCAGCTCCCCAAAGCCCAGGAGAACAGGAAATACAGGAACCTGTTGGACAGCTTCAGAGGGAAGGAGCTGATGAGACAAGCCACCCTACTCACTCAGGCAAAGGACACTCAGTGGTCTCCCTTCCAATGCAAAGCCTTCAGAACCCAAGAAAACAAAGTGACTAGGGGCCCCGGAGTACAAGGAAACAGAAGGACTAAGGGGAAGGACAGAAGAAGGGGCTGGGAGAGGATGGGGGTCTGGTGCCACCAAGCATATCACTCTCTCCAGGAAAGATAAGGGGAGGTGGGCTTCTTACTGCCTGGGTAACAGTGGCAGGCACAGAGTGGGGAGACTTGAAAGAAGTGGGAGGCACTGGATCAAAATATGAGGTTCTGGTAGGAATTCATAATTTTTATTTGTCTTGGGGTTTTTTGTTGATTTTTTTGTTTGTTTGTTTGTTTGTTTGAGACAGGGTCTCCCTGTAGCCCCAGGTGGCCTAGAACTCACTATGTAGACCAGGCTAACATCAATCTCACAGAGATCTGCCTTCCTGTGCCTCCCAAGTGCTGGGATTAAAAGCATGCACCACCATGTCTGGCAGAGCTCCTAATTTTTTAACAATATAAGCATATTGAAGTGGTATAGACACATGTGTGTACATACACAGAAATTTCTGTATGCGTTTGTCACCACTGACACACAGTTCCTAGCTGTGTCCATGGAGGACCCAGAAGTGATGAGCCGCTGAGTGCCCAGATCTCAGTTTCTGAACACTGTTCTCCACTAGGAAGAACCAGAGGTCCTTGAAAGAATCTTTGAGCTTGGCTTGGAGGAAGGAAAGTACCCAAAAATCTGAGACATTTTCTGTGCCAGGAAGTCAGGAATGCTCAAAGAATGGAGATGGGTGAAATGACACTCATCAGCTTGAAGAAATGGGCAGTAGCCAAATGTAAGGTGATAAAGCACGAAAATAAACAGCATGGCAGATCATAACCTGTAGGCTTAGGAGCTGTGAATTGGTGCCAATATAAACAAATAAATGAAGAAGCAGATTAGAAACCAGAGACTCCTCCTTATAGTAAAATGCCACCTAACAAATGTAGAAGGAAAGATAGGCACAGAGCATCACCAGCTGACATCTCTTTTGCTGGGGGGAGGGGGTGTTGGGGGGGTGAATGGAGCTTGAGACCTGCTAGTAGCCCTGGCTGGCCTGGTTCTTGCTATATAGACCAGGCTGACCTCAAACTTGCAGCAATCCTCCCATTTCTGCCTCCAAGTGCTGGGATTATAAGCCTGTGCCACCATGCTCAGCTACTAACTGACATCTCTATATGGGCAGAGATAGGCAGGAATCAGTGAATGCAAAGGCTGGAGGTGAGGATTTGCTCAAGATCAGAAAACTGTTGCAAAATCAGATGTCTTTCCATAAATGCTAATCTAATATAGATAGGAGAGAAGTGGCAGAGGGCAACTTGAACAGGTGATTAAGGTCAGCACCATGGTGGGATGAGGGACTTGAAGCTTTCCAGTTATAGGCATGACCATGCCCAGCACTTTTTCCCCAGCCTCTTCCAAGAAGGGGTGGCCCAAGTCTGCACAAGGACATGGATTAGCAAGCTCTTTAAGACTTGTTAAGACTGAAGGACAAGGAAAGGCAGGTGAGACAAGACAGCTAAATGCATCGTGTTCCTGGAGAGGGTCTTGGGCCTGAACTGGGATAGCTGGCATAACATTAAGTGTCCAGAGTGTCACTGTGCGTTCCCGACCGGGGGGGGGGGGGGGGGGGGGGAGGGGGCACATGGAATGATGCAGGGGACCTCGACTATCCAGAGCTGACGGGTAACATGTCAGAAAGCACAAAACCAAACCAGGAAGATGGGACTGCTGGACCCCTTTATGCTGTGCTTGCATCTCTTCTGTAGATTTAAGATTATTTTTAAAAACTTGCCCAGGGTTAGGGAGATAGATCAGCCATAAAGTGCTTCCCTTGCAACCACAAAGACGTGAATTCAATCCCTAGAACTCATGTTTTAAAAAAAAAAGCCAGACATGGTCACCTGAGTTTTAATTCCAGCACTGGGGGCGGGGGGAACAGGTGGATCCCTGGGGCTCACCGGCCAGCCAGCCTCGCCTACTCACAAGTTCCTGATTAGTGAGACACTTTGTCTCAAAAACAAAAGTAGATGGCACCTGAGGAAGATGGCGCTCCAGGTTGTCCTCTGGCTTTTAAACACACACACAGATGTGTACTTGCATACACACATGAACTCACATACACACATGCACTTGCATACACACATGAACTCACATACACACATGCACTTGCATACACACATGAACTCACATACACACATGCACCTGCATACACACATGAACTCACATACACACATGCACCTGCATACACACATGCATACTCCAAAACCAGACTTAAAAAGGGGACATGAGGTCAGGGAGAAAAGGAAATCAGCTGTTCCTGTGGCCAGGTGTGACAAGGGGACAGAGTGGGAGGACACTGGAGTGACTGAGGAGGGTTAGGGGCTTGAAATGGTGTGAGCCTAGTACAGGGCCCCAGGCCAAGGAGACAGAAGTCTTGCTCTTGTCCCCAACATAATCCTTACTGCTACAGTGGAGAGACAGGGACTGCGGCTCAGTCTGGGAAGTCAGAACCTGATAGATTTGGGAAGCCTGCTTCCCACACTGTTTTGCACCCTTTCTGGATCCCAGAACTTTTACCCTAGCTGGAGCTGAGATAGCCTCTGCCACATCCCAGCAGCAGGCTAGCTCTTCTTGAAGTCTTTGTGACACAACCAAGGTACTTATCAGTGACCATCTTGGATGGGGCTCCCTGGAGGCCCGTAGGGGAGACAAAAGTGGATATATAAGTGGAGGTGGAGAGCCACGGGTTCCAGGTCCCACAGAGCATGGTCAACTGCTAAGAGTGCTAGAGCCTCTAGGGATTTCCTCAAAGAGGAGTGACAGGAGGCACCTGGGAAAGGTGAACACATTGGCTGTTTCTGAGCTCACTGATGGCCAGAGCTTTAGGAGGAGGCATTCCCCAGAGAACACTGTGGGTCCCTCAGTTTCAGGGCATCCCACTGCTGAAAGTCAGACTCCACAGCATACCATACAGATGGGCAGCTGGAGGGCCATCTGCATGCCATGTCCGACCATAAGCATGGCCCTCTGTCCCAACCAGCAGACTTGGGTCTTGACATTAATAAGAAGTCTGGGATGCTGGAGGCCTAAGTAGGCTGCTGTGGTCTGGAAATAGGAGCTGGGCCAGAAGAGGCAAAGAGGCTGGATTTTAAATTGTGAGAGGGACTGGAGTCAAAGCCAGGAAGCCAGTTTTCTCCTTTGGGTGCTCTCGGGTACCCCCTCCTAGCCTTTTTAAGATGGTCCAGCAAGTAACAAGGAGGGGGCTGTTACTAACACAAAGCCCTCTGCCTGACTCCTGCATATCCCTTCCTCCCAGTGAACATAAGAGGTGGGCGTTGGGCATGCAGATTGTAAAGCGCAGTGCTGGCTGTAGGCCTGGGGCAGGGAAGGTCTGGGCACCCAGCAAGGGTCAGAGCTAAGGCCCCTGATCATCCACCACCCTGGCCTATGCTGCTTGGCTGGGTTTCTTGCTGCCATTTTCATACTCCTTTGGCTTCTTTCCCACTGGAGAAATCTTCGTGGCAGCTTTGCACAGAAGCCTCCAGTGAACTGCCCAGAGAGGCCAGAGGCGTGACTCCTCTACTTCCTTCTTGCCCAACTCTTCCCCCATCCCTGAATGCCTTGCTGCCCACCACAAGCCAAGCCTGGCACACCTACATCTCTGCCTGATGACATGTAGGAAGTACTAGTCAGTGCTTCAGATCACTGAGCCCAGCAGAGTCTGGGCACTGTCTGGGTGAGTATGTCTAGAATGAACTCTAGGGTTTGGGCTCCTGGCCCCAGAGAGCAGGAAGCAGACTGCTGGCACACAGCAGCAGTCAGTTGGGCTGTCTTAAACAGGACATCCAAGGTCCACGGAGTGCTGTGAGGCCTGCTGCCTTCTCACGCAGCTCCAGCCCAGGGCCACCCACCTGCAGTTTCCAGAGGAAGTCCAGGCGAGCAGTGGACTCCACCTGCTGAGCATGCAGGTACAGGGCCAGCACGAAGACAGAGATGATGATTGGTGTCACCACCTTCAGTGCCACCTTGGTCGCATGCTCAGGGCTGTTGGTAAGAAGTAAATAGGCCTGAGTTCACCCTTGTCCTTCGGAGGACTGCCAGGTCATCCTCTCCCTTCAGCTCCCCTTTCTCCTTTCCCTCCTGTTCAAGCTGCCTGAGATGCTTCCTCCAGAAAGTCATCCAGCAGAAGAGCTGTGGTTTCTCCTGCCCTGGTGCCCCTGTCTTTTACTCGTGGGCCTCACTGGTCACCTCAGTGGTAAACTCAGCTCTCCTACAGGCAGCCACAGTAGTGCAGGGTCAAGGTAACCAGGCCAGCCATAATGGCCCTGGCTCTGGGCACCTTTGGGCAAGTCTCTCAGTCCTCTACTCTTCTTTATTAAAGGTTTATTTTTCTTATTTTTAACTATGTGTATGTGTGTGTGTATCTGTGTGTTGGTATGTGCATGTGAGCACAGGAGCTTCAGAAGGCCAAAGGCGTTGGCTCTCCCAGGAGCTCGAGTTCAGGGGTTGTAAGTTACCAGATATGGGTGCCAGGAATCAATCAAACTCGGGTCCTCAGGTCCTTTTTTTTTGGAATTTTTGAAGCAGGGTCTCCCTGTAGCCCCAGCTGGCCTGGAACTCACTATGTAGACCAGGCTGGCCTTGAACTCACAGAGATCTTCCTGCCTCTGCCTCCCAAGTGCTGGGATTAAAGGCGTGCACCACCATGCCCAGCAACTCAGGTCCCCTTTAAGAGTAGCAAGTGCTCTTAACTGTTGAGCCATCTCTTTACCCTGTCAATCCTCTACTCTTCAGTGTCCCCATCTGTAAAATGGGGTGATGCCTCCATTTCGAGATTGTGGTAAAGAGTAAGATACTGTACACTGAGTGTTCCCTATGCCTAGTGAACAAAGAGTAGGCACTCCCTAGCTGGAGGCTGTTACTGTATAGTTATGTTCCTGGTCATTTGGGGTGTAAAAAGCTCTCATTCCAAACCTGCTGCTTGTACCAGCATGGTGCTCAAACCCTGAATACGGGGTCTAACTCTCCGCCAAGCCTTCCTAAATGCTGGGCCAGGTTTCAGAGCCTCCAGGCTTGTATTTAAAGGGAAGCAGGCTCCGCCTTCAGCTCTGTGGCTAATGGCCTTGGGCTTATGCCAAGAAGAACCTGGAGCTACAAGCTTTAGACAGGGGGCTGGGGAATTACAGAGGCCTGATGACCTTGCCATTGAGTCTTCAGATCACCTTGAAGTATGAGAATCCAAACTGTCAAGTGTCTACCCAACTACAGCCCCTTGCTGCCCCTGGAGGAAGGGCCTCCTTGCCTGTTCTAGCTGCCCATCTTGTCAGGAGGCCACTCCCACCTGGGCATGGGTGCCCTCTTGTGTTCTCTTTGTGTCAAGGGCAGGGGGGGCATCATAGAAGAAGTATCCACTCACCACTGGGAGGTCCCATTGTTGCTGAAGTCTCTGTGAACAGAAGTTGGGGAGACTGCTCAGCCAGCCTCAGGTTTCAAGACCCTACCCTGCCCCCAGGCCCTGTGCTCTCAGGCCCTGTGCTGCCACCCAGAACCCTGTTCTGCTGCCCTCCAGTGTCCAAGAGGACACTTAGCAGAGAGCTTACAGAACGCTCACCCCAGCCAGCATCTGATCTCCCTAACCAAAAAGTGCTCCTTTCTTACCCTGGACCCTGTCTGTCCACCCTCTACCTCTGCAGTCCATTCTCCCCACCCCACACACATCTACTTGTCCATTTGTCTGTCTCAGCCCTGTGCTGCCATATAGAAGGAGTAGAGAGGAAACCTTATATCTGCCCCAGGTGGCAGCTGCTGGCCACATGTGGCCACAAAGCCTTGAAATGAGGGTAGAGCAAGTTAAAATGTGCTGTCACTATACTGGGGAAAAGGTAAAGTAGTTCACTAATAATTTTAAATTGAGTATATGTTAAAAAGATCATATTTTGGATATATTAGCTAAATAAAATTACTAAAATTAATTGCCCCTTTGGGCTGGGGGGAGGTGGGATTGCTCAGTGGTAGAGTGCATATCTAGTACACACAAGGTTCAGTCTCCAACATCATAATAAAAACACACTATATGTCTTTTTTTTTTTTTGGTCTTTTTGAGACAGGGTCTCCCTCTAGCCCCAGCTAGCCTAGAACTCACTATGTAGACCACACAGGCCTTGAACTCACAGAGATCTGCCTGCCTCTGCCTCCCAAGTGCTGGGACTACAGGCATGCACCACCATGCCCGGCTCTCCTTTTTAAAATGTATTTTGTTCTATGAAATTCAATGTTTAAAAAGTATTGCTCTTCAAAAAAAATTATCAAACAGAAACACACCCTGCCTCCCGAGTGCTGGGATTAAAGGCTTGGCCACCACGCCCGGCTACATCTGGCTTTTTAATTACAGTTGCTAGAATTTAAATCACATGGATGGCTTGCATGATTTATCTACTGGATAGTACTGCCCTAGAGCTAAACCAGGGTCTCTCAACAACACTGCCCTCCACTGTCTGATGCCACCTTCAGCAGAGGGAGAGAAAGGCTAGAAGGGGAAGGAAAAAAAAATCTGGCTCCGAAGCTGGGCGTGGAGGCTCCCAGCATGTGAGAGGTAGATAGGAGGGTCAGGAGTTCAAGGCCAGCTCTAGCTACCTGTTCCTGATGGCAGTGTCTTCCTGTCACCTGCCCACAGCCCCGCACAGCTACCAGAAGTTCTTGTGTGAGTCTGACTTAAGAGTCTTCATTTTTGCACGTTACTCTTGTCACAAGAAAAGGACATTTCTGCTGGGCTCCCTGTTCTACTCAGACTGTCACTGCCTGGCTCAGAACCTGTACATCATAGGCCCTCAACAAATGAATGAATGGTTCAGTTGACGGTGGGTGGATCTCTTGCCTTCCTTGACCCCAGGAGAAGCTGCACCCTCTCCCAAGCTTGAGGTCAGCAGTGAGTAGCCAACTAGGCAGTGGAGCCCAGTCTCCTGTAGTCGCCCCCAATATGGAGAGGGAGGAGAGGAAGACCTTGTGTGCTCTGCTCAGGTAGCCAGGCCTGGGGAGGAGCAAGGCACTCTCCTTGCAGATTCCCTGTGGTGCCAGGACCCAAGCTCCAGCTCTCCTGCTTCCCTGTTCCCAGACCCAGTGGGGATGTCAGGAAGGTACTGCGTACATGGCGTTGGCGGTGACCAGCAGGTCAGCATTGTCAAAGAGTGTGACGCCCGGCACCTCGACGATGAGTACATAGATGAGCTCGATGGCCAGCATGAGCACCAGCTTCCCGATGCAGCTGATCTGCAGGAACACGGAGCAGGCCAGCAGACTGAGCAGCACGCTGTAGGTGAAGTACTGCCGAGACAGGGCCATGTTAGAACCAGCCCTAGCTCTTACTACTCCCCCACCCCTTGCCTGACCTGGGGTGTGTCGGGTAGGGGAAACATAGTTTGAGAATGTGTCTGCTGATGGAAGTCAGCCAGCAAGTGAGATAAAATGTGAAGAGCTTGCCTAGAAAGCAGATGGGCTCCAGGTTGAAATGGGTCAGGGAGGTTGGTATAGAGTGTGGCTCCAGGCTCAGGCTGGCCTGGTTCATCCTTGATCCACTATGGACTGGCTAGATGCCTGGTAACCCTCAGTTTCCCCATCTGCAAGCTTCCTGTCAGGCATCCACCCATGAAAGAAAGCCCTTGTTGCCTGGCACCATCAGTGACTGCCCGGATCAAGTGCCCAGTGCCCCAGTGATGATCTGCAGCTTTCAAGTCCACAGCTCTAAACAGGAACTTTCAGAACTCACCCAGTTGGGGTGACACCTGAACTGGCCCACCCTAAGTAAGGTAACATTAAGTACTGTCTTTACTCAGATTCTTGTGACTACTCATATATGTAGCTGCAGAAATAAGGCTGTTTACCATCAGATTCTACTCAGGCTCCTCTGGGGCATGTGTGGAGACAACCTTCTAAAATCTGAAAACTTCTGCAGTCTAAATACATTGGCTATAAGTCAGCCTTCCAAGGAGAGACCAGGACCACGTATCTATCTTGGGGCAGTCCCTTTTAGTCTCTGAGCCTGTTTCTTTCTTAGATAACAGAGGGGCTGAACCAGCTGATCTATTCTATCTTTCATCCCCTGATGCTAAATAGATACATGTCAGCATCTATTACTTTGTTCTTTAAGTGCAGAACTATTATTCTAGATTCTCACCATTTCCACAATGCCTCTGCTCTGGACAGGGAGATGCTAGTGTCTGGCGGTAAGGCAGCCCTTGGCTTTCAGGAGTCAAGCAGGTCCCTTGCAAAGGGCAAGAGACCAGCCTTAAGTGATTAGATGGGCAGGAGATCAGCCTTACGTCACTAACTATATATCAGAAAAAGGAGGAGCTAAGAGGGCATGCCTAGATAATTCAGTTTCAGAGTCACCTACCTGTTCTGTGGAGTGGGTAGGAGAGAGCCCCCACCACTCAGTCCCTGGGCCCAGGCAACCAGGAAGCCCACATTTTATGTGGAGGTCCCCAAAGGCCTAGGGTTCATGAGCAGTGGCTGCTTGGTGCAAGAATAGCACTTGTGAGACATGATTAGTCTGAGCTCTGCAGTTAGCAGGACCTGAAGGGTCCCCAGGTCTGACCCTGAAGAGACTAGGCAAAGCTGACACTGAGACCTGCCATTGCCCTCCAGGAAAGAGCCAGAACACAGATATTGCTGCCCTTTTTCCCCAGACCCAGTTTCTCCAAAAGTCAACTACCAAGGGTAAGTCCCTCTGTTCTGGAGTCAGCCGCCCTCAGTAAGCAGTTCTGCTCCATGGCTTGGAACAGATGTGAGAGGGCCAAGGACTAGCTGCTACCTGCTGGCCATGGTTGTTGCCCCTGGCTTGCTGTGCAGGGCAGCCCTGAGGGAGAGGGAGAGTGCCTGTCTGGAGTACAGCTAAGTCATGCTGTCCTTTCCTTGTCCCTCTATGCAGCAGAGATTCCCATGGTCTTCCTAGGCAGGGGGAGGGAAGTCAGTGCTGTGATAGTCCCCCACCCCCAGGTCCTTCTGGATTCCAAGCCCTTGCCTTGAGTCAGGACCCCTCAGGGAACTGGATGAAAGCATCAACCTTAGCCCATTAAGAGACTGGGTGTAGGAATGACCATTGCCCTACAGATACCAGCTGGAAGCTGCCCTGCTGCTTGCTGTCCAGCATGGCTGAAACACTGGTGTGCCATAGGTGCATAATATGTGCCATTCTCTCAACACAAATTCTTAGTGTTGCTTTCTAAAGCCAAATCTACAAGTACAGGGTCTCTTTGCAGGTAGTAGGAATGTTCTAAATGAGGATGGTTGCACAAATTGGTACACTAAATCTGCTTAGCTGTGCTCTTTGATCAGGATCTTAAGGTAGTCCTGGCTTGGAGCTGGGATTCTTTTATTCTTCACCCTGCATGAAGACCCCGTGGCTCCTGAGCTGAGGCAGAGTAGGAAGGTTCTCTCTCCAATTAGGAGAGTGAATACTGGAGCCAGGTAATGTGCATGAGAATTCTTGCTAGCTGTGTGACCTTAAGCAAGTTACTTAACCTGTCATCTCTATAATGGAGAGAATATAGCACCTATATCACCTTTTTTGTGATGATTTACTGACCTGTGTTCAGCACTTAGCCCAGTTCCTGGCACAGGGTAAGCACTGTCTAAACCATAGCTATGTTGTCCACATTGGTGCTGTTCTGACAAGGCTGCTGTGGTGTTGGAGAAACTGGGGATAGGCAGTCTTTGGTGGCCCCCAACCGTGCCTCAAACTGTCCAGAGCTGTGAGGCAAAATGGGGAAGGGCAGGAGTGTCTGCCTCTGCTGCTGTCCCCCCACCCTGTCCCCATTTCCCGAACCTCCGGGAAGTTGCAGTTGGGCCGGGGGCTGCTGCAGAAGCCCTGTTCATCACCCAGGCTGTAGTTGAAGGCCGACTCCACTACATGGCACGCGTTGACCTCTCTCATCGTGATGTTGTGTTCCTCTGCCAGGCAGCCTACCAGGTTCTTGGAATTGCACATGAACTAGGGTGGGGAAGAGGGTATCAAGGCTGGTCAGCCCCTGCAGGCCAGGCTAGGACAGCCCATAAACAGGATGGTGATATCAGACCACCTGTCTCAGATGCATCTGCACACACACTAGGGACAAGAGACACACCTGAAGAGGAAGGTTTGCCCTGGGCTAGAGGGAGGATGTCCATGTGCCTTCCTGAGGCAGGGACCTTTCAACCTACTTTGGGGACATCCCCTGTGCTCCTTTTGGCTCCTTCAGCCTTGAAAGTAAGGAACTGAAACCCCATGTGAAATGCTAATGAAAGAAATTGGGCCAATCTGAGGTGGGATTAAGCAGGACTGCCTGGGATAGGCTCCCGAGCCCATGTGGCTCTGTTGTTTGAATCCATGGGGCCAGGGAGGCATTGGGAGGTCATGGAGGCACCTACCATGTTGACAAAAGCCGAAAGGAACACCAGGGTGATGGTGAACACCCCGACCAGGGTGCTGTTCATCTTGGACCGCACAATCTTCCTGGAGAGGGTCTGCAGGGGAATGGGAAAGAGCTGGGGCGGGGGGCGGGGGGGAGAGAGACAAAGCAGAATTCAGTAAGGACTCCACAGATAGCCATGGTAGAGCTTGGAGGATACACCCTGTCTCTAGTGTAGCACCCCAGGTTGAACCCCTCCGGTTGCATGACCCCAGCCTCACACCACTGCTTCAGGCCTGCAGCAGCACTGCTTTGACACTGACTGGGAGCGGGGGGAGGCTGTCCCAGGAGCCCAGAGATGGCAGAGGCAGGATTAAGGAAATGATGCTATCCTGGTGGGATAGGGAAGTGGCAGAAAAGCCTGTCACTCATGGTGCACCCTGGGTCTCACAAGGAGTGGCAGTGAGTGGTTGAGGAGGCCCAGTCCCTCCTGGGAGGGCTTCTTGGAAGAAATGGAGATTCAGAGAGGCCCTGCTGTCTGGAAGAAGGAGCTGTCTATGAGAAGGGGCAGAGTGGCATGGGTGCAGGAGGGAGGAGGCCTGATTGGGGCATTAGGTGAATGTTTTCTTCAACACGAAGCTCCCATGGAGCAGGCCATTTGGCTCACCTAGTTCCTCCCACACATTCTCCAACTAGACAAGTCATACGTCCACGCCAATACCCACTGTAATTTTAGTAATTAAATGGTCAGCTTGCTAAGTTCACTTCTGCCCCCAAATCTGACATGTCATATACCACACACTTATCTGCCACACAAAAGTAGAAGGATCCTAGTGGGGAAAGGAGAGCTGTCCTCTCCACCCACTGGTAGGTATGGGCCTGGGCTGCTTCCTAAGACAATGAGGTGCTACAGGGATACTGATGGGATAGTTAGGGCTAGCCCAAGAGGGAAAGGGCCACACTGACGACACATGAGTAAGCAACTGTCAGTGGAGGTGATCAGCTCTGGTTGGCCCATCTCCTGCAGGATTCAAAGTGGGATTCTGGATGCTGAGATTCTCTATCTACATATAACACATGCTAGTGAAAAGGGGTTACCATGGTTTTCTCCAAGAAAAGTGGCTCTAGGGTCCTGGTCAGCAGAGATGCCAAGGGTGGATAAGAGGGTAGTAGGTAGATTTGCCCTCCACAATGGTTCCAGCAGAGAGATTTAGCAAGGTATACCAGAGACAGGCCTCCAAAAGCAGCCGAAGCACCAAGAAATGAGACTAGATGCTGGAGAAGGCCTTCAGTGGTTAGGAGCACTGGATGCTCTTGTAGAGGACCTGGGTTCAGTTCCCAGCACCCATATGGTAGCTAACAACCCATAATTCTAGTTCCAGAGAATCTGATGCCCTCTTCTGGCCTCCACTGGCATTGCATGCATGGGTGCAATTATAAACATGCAGGCAAAACATTCACACAAATCAATCAATCAATCAATCAATCAATCAAATTTTAAAGATGAAATGGGACTAGAATTGGGAACAAAATGAAGACCACAGCACTGAATCAACCTTCCCAAGAAATCTAGGGTGCATGTCAACAGCACCAAGCAGGTTATGGAAGGATGAAACAGGCCCAAGGTAGAGGGGCAGCCAGAGCCCTTGGCAAAGATACAGGAAACCTAGCAGAGAGGGCTGGAGATGACTGCTCCCTGACACACAGGGACGAGGACAAATCAGTCCACCCTGTCTTCAGGTATTTCCTGGCAAAAAGGTCAAAATATAGACAACTTAAGGAAGTAAGCCCAGGTTGTATGGGGAAATGGAAAAGCAAATGAAACAGAGAAACTGCCTAACAGCTACTTAACTTTGGGTGAGCAGAGCTTGGACCTGGAGTAACGGAGGAATTACCACATCTCACTGAATGCCAGGATCTCTCAGCTACTAGAGAAATAAGACGGGGTGGGGAGCTGAGCCTGAGGCCTCCTCAGGACAGTCAGATAACCACTGGGCCTGGTAAAGGAATTGAGAGCAAGCTTGATGAGTTGGACAATGGTAACAAAATAGGTCGATTCAAACATGCGAAAGGAGGCAGGAGTGGTGTCTGTAAATCACCTTGAGCAGTGGGAAAAGAACTTACTAGAGCAAAGTGTAATTCAAAAGTGGTCAATGCATGAGATGTGAGGCAAGTAAACAACCTTTCTGTTACTGACAGACACCAGAGACACACAAAGGTTAGGAACTCACACGGAGAGCTCAGATTTGCCAAGGCCCCCAAAAGAAAATAGGAAGTTTAGGTTCTAGTTCAAAACGGTGGACTAGATAGAGTTTTGATTCAGATTTGAATGGTGCAAATAAGTATCAGAAACAAAAACAGACACAAAGACCAATGGAATAAAACACAAGACCCAGAAATAAATCTGTATAAATATTGCCACATCTTTCACAGAGGTGTCAAAAACATACACTGAGAAAAAGACAACCTCTTCTTTGACAAACGGTGGTAGGGAAACTGGCTATCCACATGTAAAGTAATGAAACTAGATCTATATATCTCAGCCTGCACAAAAATCCATTCAAATGGTTCAAAAACTTTAATACAAGACCTGAAACTCTGAACTTGTGAGAGAAAAACACAAGTAAAACACTTAAAAGTATAGGCATGGAAAGACTCCAATAGGACAAAAAATAAGCCCAAGAACTGACAGGTGGAATTATATGACATGACATAAAAAGGCTTCTGCACAGCAAAGGAGACAAACAGAGTGAAGAGACAACCTACAGAGTGGGAGAAAAAAACCTGCCAACTGTACAACAGGGGATTCATATACAGAATATATAAAGAACTCAAGGAATCAAACCACCCAAAGAACACATATTCAATCAATAAACGAACAAATGGATTGGACAATTTCAGATGAAGAAATGCAAATGGCCAATAAATGTGAAAAATGTTAGCCATCAGGAAAATGCGAATCAAAACTACAGTCACCAAGCCAGAATGGTCATCATCAAGAGGACAATGAATGGGGGGGGGGTAGAGAGAGGACTCAGTGGTTAAGAGTGCTTACTGCTCTTCCAGAAGACCTGTGTTGAGTTCCCAGAACTCAACATAAAAGGCAGCTCACAATCACCTGTTATTCCAGCTCAAGGGAATCTGACCTTCTTCTGGCCTCCTCAGGTGTGTGTGTGTGTGTGTGTGTGTGTGTGTGTGTGTGATCTCGTGTGTGTGTGTGTGTGTGTGTGTGTGTGTGTGTGTGTGTGTGCGTGTGTGTGTGTGTGTGTGTGCCACTCAAGAGTTGTGGGTCTCCTACCTGGGCCAAGTGTGATATTCAGATCTTGGCAGTTGCTTCTGCCAGCAGTCTGGGAAGAATAGGAAGTCACTGACTTAGATATCAGGGGGACTCACCTTCACACAGGAGTAGATCACAGACACGAATACCACCAAGGCAAGCAGCAGGAAACAGGACAGGTAGAAACTCAGCATGAACAGGGAGCTGGGGGAAGAGACAGGGTGAGAAAGAGCCACATCTAGGTAGGAGAGCCAAGTCCCACCACACCCCAGGAGCCTTCCCAGTCTTCAGGGCCCAGATCCCAGGCCCATCCTTACAGTTTGGGGGACTGGGTGCTTTGAAAACTGCTCCATTTTTCCCAGCAACCAATTGCTGCATCCCTTCTACTCCTCCCTGAAAAGAGCTCCTGCAGCTACAAGGGCCCATGCAGGGTCTTGCCCAAGTCTTCTCTTACTTCTCCCACCCACTGGCTACCCTTCTGGGGGACCAGCAGTCCACAGGGAGCTGAATGAACTGGACAATACCTGATCGATAGTATGTCTAACTCTTAGCTCCTCACAGGAGTGTTACAGAAAGCTTGGGAGAATCAATTTTGAAAATCATCTGCTATCCTTCCTCATTCCTCATTCCTATCATTCATGAGTTGATAAAATAACAGGGCTGAAAACATACTTGATAAATGGCCTTCATGTCAGCAGGCCAGACAGCTCCTCTTTGACAAACAGTATGATGTGCATACTCAGAAGGTGAGTCCTTAGCCCCATCCCTTCCCACTGTCAGGCCTCACAACGGTTCCTGTTCAGTCTTTGCTCCCTGATTCATAGGAAGTTCAACAAGGAACATGTCTATGTCTCCTACTTCCCCTCCTCAAGGAGGCAGATAACAAGCCACCAAGGGTGGGAAGTCTCAGACAAATGAGCTGCAAGTGCTTTTCCTTCCAGAACTGCCATTGTTCTCTTGGGGAAGAGCCAATCCAGGTTCAGCACACCCACCAGGCTGCAAGGGAGGAGCATTGTCTGGAGATGCCAGGCATTGTTAGCAGATGGTAGGTCAGTGGGGAGAGACAACCCACCTACACACACACACACACACACACGCACACACACACACGAGAGAGAGAGAGAGAGAGAGAGAGAGAGAGAGAGAGAGAGAGAGGCTGACTGAGACATGGCTTTTGCTCTTGGCTTCCACAAAGGCAGCATTTAGCTGACTTCAACAAATGGAACAAGAGAAAAGATTTCTTCAGGAGAAAAGAAAAGCCTTTAAAGTGGCTTTTATGGCTGCCCTAGAGAAGGGACAGCTGGAGACCAACCCGTGTCAATGCCATACCCAGTTGGAACAGTGGCCACAGGAGGTAATGGAGCTGGCCACTGCAAATAGAGCAGGGAGCTGGCACAGCCCCACCCTTAAGCCATGCTGCCTGGAGAGTAAAGTGGCCAAGAGGCAGGACTGTGCACCCGAGTTAAGGGCCTAACAGTTATAATAGGACAAAAGGCCTAGGTTATTATCTGTACCATGTCAATACAGAAAAAATGAGGCTGGGCGCAAATACAGTCCCACCAGCTCTGCACAGCCTCAATGCAGGGAAATGGGCTGAGATGTTCAGCCAGGGTGTTGCCAGCTGCCAGCATCTGCTTGTCACCTGAGGTATTCTGACAGTCACAACAGATACACATGTAACAAGCATCTTTCCTACAGTGAATGCCATAAAAATAAAAGGTGTAAAGAAGGCAAGTAGAGGGCCAGCAAGATGGCTCAGTGGGTAAAGGGTGCCAAGCCTGACCACCTGGGTTCTAGCTCTAGGACCCATATAGTGGAAGAAAAAGAACTAACACTGAAAGTTGTCCTCTGACTTATACACATACACACTATTCCCACACATACATACATACACATACATACATACATACATACATACATACATACATACATGTAATAAAAATATTTTTAAAAAGATGAGTGGACTGGATATGCCTTCAGGTAAGATGATGGGAAGGACACAGCATCTGTGTTGTGGGAGTGTCATCAAAGCAATGCCAATCCAGTCAGGAGACCCTCAAACGCTCCCAAATTGAAATATTCTACAAACCATTTGGCCGGGATCGCATTAAAAGTGTCAAGGTGATAAAAGGCAAGCAAAGCCAAAGAACTATGACTGACCAGACAAAATAAAGGAGACACAGCTAGCTGCAGTGGAGGATCCCAGGCAGGGCGGCTTCTGTACCATAAAGGGGATTCTGGGCATGACGGGGAAACTGGTGATGTCAGAACCAGGCCTATGGGGTGACAGGCACCACTGTTCCCATGTGAGGTTCCTGGTGATCACTGCAGTGCAGTGATGGAAGTTGTCCCCCATTAGGGGAAACTGCACAGAAGGTGCATGGAAGGTCTCTGTGCAAGTTTTGGAAGGTCTCAGTAGATTTACACTTATTCCAAAAAGAAAAATGAGCCTGGGTGGGGGAACATTCTAGATTGAGCAAGATTTAGAACAGAACCACATCTAACCCATAGATCTTGAGTCAATCCTGGCTATAGACTATGAAGATATTTGGGAGATGATTTTGGAAATTTGATATGGACTGGGTACTAGATGATGGTAGGAAATTGGCATTCATTTTATTTGCTGGGTAAACTATTGTGCTTAAGAAAGAAAATGTCCTTAAAATAGATGTCTATTAAAGTTACAAGAGGGAAAATGTTCTTAAGTTTATTTTTTTAATCATTTAAAAAGTAAATGAAATAAAAGCTGAAAAATATTAACAATTGTTATATGGAGAGCATAGGAGTTGGTTACATAACATATGCTTCAGTGATTTCATAATAAAAACTAAAAATGAGTACTATAAGCATACCCATACTTGCATATACATACATACACACAGGGCACTATGCATACACATACACACATACACAGGGCACTATGCATACACATACACATACACAGGGCACTATGCATACACATACACATACACAGGGCACTATGCATACACATACACACATACACAGGGCACTGTGCATACACATATTTACACACATACACAGAGCACTGTGCATACACGTATATACACACATACACAGGGCACTATGCATATACATACATACACACATACCCAGAGCACTGTGCATACACACACACACACACACATACACAGGGCACTATGCACACACATACATACACATACACAGGGCACTATGCATATACACACATACACACATACCCAGAGCACTGTGCATACACACACACACACACACATACACAGGGCACTATGCACACACATACATACACATACACAGGGCACTATGCATATACACACATACACACATACCCAGAGCACTGTGCATACACACACACACACACACATACACAGGGCACTATGCACACACATACATACACATACACAGGGCACTATGCATACACATACACACATACACAGGGCACTATGCACACGCATAGATACAACACATACACGGGGCACTGTGCTTTTCTTCTAGGTGTGACTTGAGAATGACTGTCTACTAAACTTCATTTCCAAAAGCCCACTGCCTGCTTCCAAGTGATCTTTATTGACACAGCCAGTCCACATCAGAGTTCAGGCATGCCTCTTTGTGAAAAGCCTTCTTAAAATCCATTCTTTGAAATATCCTCAGTAGTGAGAAACATTTATCTTTTGAAGATATACTGTTTTTCTGCAAGATCCAAAGATCACCTGGAAGCCAGAGTGGCAGACACTTGGGTGATTCAGCCAGGCATGAGAGGTGGTGATGAAAAAAGGCATGTGGCCGAGCAGTGCCCAGTGAGCCTCCACCCAGGCATGAGCTCCTCACCTCCCCAGTCTAGAGTCCAGACCCCTGGCTTCCTAGTTCCACCAAGGACACATGGCCCGAACAGGCTCAGCACACTTCCTTTCTTCTATGTTCTCCCTAATGACCACCTCTCCTACCCCAGGGACTGGGCAGCCAGAGGAGGAAGCTCAAGAAAGATGGGGATACTTACTGGGGCACAATGGTGATCTGGACAAAGCAGATGAAGAGGAAAACGAGTGAGGCACACGCCACATAGGCACCAAATCGGTCATCCACCTGCTTGGAGTACTGAGAGAAGACAAGAAGGTGAGGTCAGGTGGACCCACCCACAGTCTGCTCCAGCCTAGCCAAGTCTAGTCATCCAGGAACTCCAGGCACCCTACTTCAGGGCAGGGAACACAGGGACCAGAGCTAGGCTTAGATTAAAGTCAGCCAGTTCAAACACTCATCTGGTAGAACCCGTGTAAAAGTAATTGAGAGAGACTTAGAACTGTCACATTGGAAACTTTATGCAAGTTGGCCCACTGTCAGCATAATTCATAATGATCACACCTACAAACCATCATCACTTACCCTCACAACAACACCCTGCCCCCCAGTAGGCTCAGAACTGCTGTGATTCTACTTCTTGGAAGAGCAACTCAGGCTCAAAGAGCTCCCATGATTTATTCAAGGTCACCTCCAATGTCCTAGTTCCCAGCCTCAGCAACTTCTATGACACCAACAACACAAACGCTGGCACAGTCACCACTTCCTGTTCCATCGTTTTGCTCTGCTAATCAGGTCTGCCTCATTTAATGTTGGTACAAGTTCACACGAAACCATTTTAACAAGACACTGGGGCATCCTGGGCACAGAGCGAAAGAAACTGCCTAGGAGCAGGGCCTGGTGGTTCTGTCACCACTATGCTGGGTGGCCCAGAGCAAGTTGCCTGACCACTCTGAGCTTAAGTCTCTTATTCTTAACCAAAGGAGGCTGAATAGGGGGAGTTTCCATATCTCTTCCAATGTAGCACCTGAGGTTCTGGTGAGCCCCAGGATGCTGGGCGACCCAAAAATCACAGCAATAACAGAGCACAACATTTACAGCACATGCTCTATGTGGCAGGCACCATTGTATGTGTTTTACATGGAGATAACTCAATTGATTCTCACTCTAATCCTGAAGGAGGTATGCTAAATATTCCAGCCTTCCAGATAAGGAAACTGAGGCACATCAATGTTAACATGCACTCCTTCTAACTATGCAACTCTTCCTAGAACCCCATCTGCCTGGGGTTCTAACGTGGCAAGACAGATGAGGAAACTGACAGGAAGTGGCTCCTACCATGGTGCTGGAAGTAAGATGAAGCCATCCTGTGGCCTGTGGCCTGTGCTCTGCCTTGGTTCTGCCTGCCCCTCTCCCTCACCCAGTGCCGTACCTTCTTTTCTAAGTCGGGCTCCCTGAAGGTCAAGAGGAACTTGCGGACATGTTCAGACCGCAGCCTGTCAATGCTCCTGGCATCAATGGCCCGGCCCAGAAACTCATCCACTTCATCCTCAGGGTTTGTACTTTCCTGGGCATTCCTGGGGAGCAGGGGACACAGACAGGCAGGCTGATATCCAGGGACACTGTTGCCTAGTGAGTTCTGCATGGCCATCTGGACTGGCCAGAGACATGAGATAGGCATCCAGAGAGCCCTGACCCAGGGTGGAAAAGCAGGGACTGGGACCAGGTGGGCAACAGCCTCGGGCTGTGCTCTTAACACCTGCACATGACAGCGAGCTGCCTGAGGTCCGCAGCCAGAGGGCCTGGCAGGCAGTGTAACGTATTTGATGACAACAATGTGGACCACTATTGAAGATTTAATGTTCTCCAGACAAGCCTCTGCTCTTCACTCTTCCACTGTCTCCTCGTCCTGAAGCTGAAGCTTAGATTTCTGAGTGGGACTTCCTTGAACTGGGCTCGGGACTCTCTGCCTGGGCATGGTGGTATGTGTCTTTAAATCCAGCACTTAGGCAGGTAGATCACTGTGAGATTGAAGGCAGCCTGGGATGGTCTACATAGTGAGTTCCAGGCCAGCTGGGGCTACATAGTGAGACCTTATCTAAAAAAAAAAAAAAAATCTAATTTCTCAAGGTGGACCCTGGTCCTTACATACAGTTTCTGGCAGTCTCGAGAACTGGGAAGCAAAAGAGGAGGAAGAGGTTGCTCCTTCAGGACACTTGGACATGCTTAGTGTGTGAGGTCTGCATTTCCCTTAGAGAGCAATGCAGTTGTATGTGTGGTAAAGGTCATAGGCAGTTCTGAGGTCCAACCCTGTAGCCCGGTGGTCTGGCCTCCTGGGCTGCCCCAGGGCTACTGCTGACCATCTGTCACATGCATGATGGGCTAAGGGAGAAGGAAGACAAAACAGGTAGACTACTCACTTGTCCTTTGGGTCTTCAAAGCCCTAAAAGAGAAGGAAAGAGACAGAAGAACATGAGAACAGGGAGTACACATGCAGGCCCAGAGTGGGCCAGTCAGGCCTGCAAGACAGTCACGCTTCACGGCTCTCTACCATCAACCACTGTGATGAACATAAGGCTGTGGCTCCCTTCCTCCAACCCTTCCTTCCTTCACTTGATGAATGCAGCGGGGTCCTTCCTAAGGTACAGACACTGTACCAGAGCACACTGTGAATTCATTCTATTCTTTTTTCTTAATTTAAAAAAAATTTTATTATTTTTATTTTATGTATATGAGTGTTTTGCCTGTATGTAGGTAAGTGCACCCGTGTCATACAATGCTGCGGAGGACAGAACAGGCCATCGGATCTCCTGGAACTGGAGTTACGGACAGTTGTTAGCTGACGTGTGGGTGCTGGTTTTCGAACCTGGGTCTTCTGCAAGAACAACCAGTGTTCTTAACCGCTGAACCATCTCTCCAGTCCCAACTTCATTCTATTCTTCTATTCACTGGCAAAATCCTGCCCCATGCCTGACCCTTCCTGCATCTCCTAAGCCTCTCCTTCCTCCTCCTGGGACCTGGCTTGAAATTGCTGGGATGCTCAAACCTTCAGAAGTGTCCACGTTTGCCACCCATACACACACACTGAACACATAAAACCTACAGAAGATCATAAGCTTCCCACCTAAAATAATTCAGTGCTGACTACCTCCAACCACTTTCATGGTGGTTGTGGACCCAGGAGGTAAAGAGTCCACCTGCCACCTGCAGGGTCTGAGTGCCTTTCTGCTGTTTATGTCTGCAAGCCAAGGAACCCTCACAGACAGATGTCAACCAAGAGCCCCACTTAGAGGTAACTGTGAACTCTGCTATAGAAAAGTGCCTTCAGGGTCTGACAGTCATGGTGGAATGAAAGGTCCCTATGCTGGGTAGGGCAGAGCCAGGAGGCTGTGGAAGTGGTAAGCAGCCCTAGTCTTTGGGGAAGTCACTATGTAGACCAGGCTAGCCTTCATCTCAAAGATATCTTCCTGCCTCTGCCTTCCGAGGGCTGAAATTAAAGGTGTGCACCACCACGTCCAGCATCCTAGTCTTACAGGACAAGAACCGTGTATAGAGCACTACTTAGCAAACTGAATTTGGCAAGTACTGACTGGACCAAATAGATCCCCCTGCTGAGGACATGGCTTGACAGTACAGAAAGAGGGACTGTTCTTCACGAGCCAGGGCTGGTAGGTGTTGAACAGACATGGTATCCCCATGGCATGGAGGATTCCAGGGCCTCAGCAGCCTCTGGGCACCTATGCTATCAGTCTGGGCTGCTCCCAGGGGCTGACACCTGACATAGGACAGCCCACCAGTTGTCTGCCTTAACCAGCCAGGCTCTTCTCCTTGTCTTCTTGAGAACCACCCAGCTCTTTCTCTAGACTATATGACCATGTTGCCCTCCTAACTATAGGAGTGGGTGTCACTCAAGTGAGTGCTCTGTCTAGGGACAGGCCCATTCCTGTGCTCTCATGACTCCTCATGAGTTCAGCATGTCAGGAAGCAGAGCTGGACAGGCAAGCTGCCTACAAAATGCTACCATGAGGCTCTGGCCCTCTGAGATCCATCCCATGAGCTGGCAACCAGCTTACTATGCAACCAATAGCAACAGAGCCACACATGCACATACCTGCTTCTACAGCTCAAAATTACCCTTACATTTCTCCAAGGTTTTCTCCCAGACTCCTTTAAGGACCCACCCATGTTCTCTCCTGTGCTGAGCAGGGAGTTGGACTGATTCTCAGCCCCTGAGGGATGCTGTGATGGTGTGGATACTGCAGGGTCAGCTGAGGGCCATACACTGACAACAAGGTAGAAAAAAATTGTCGTTCAGAGACTACATCAACATGGCAGTTAAGAACAGCCCAGGCTGGAGAGATGGCTCAGCAGTTAAGAGCACTAACTGCTCTTCCGGAGGACCTGGATTTGGTTCCCAGCACCCATATGGCAGTTAACAACCATCTGTAATTCCAGCTCCAAGGGATACATTGTTCTCTTCTGGCCTCTGCAGGCACTGCACATGTGGTCTAGTTACATACATGCAGGTAAAACACTCATACACATAAAACTACTTAACTAATCTTTTAAAAGAATAGCTCAAGGCTCAGTGGTAGAGCACAGACATGTGTGGCTTCCATTTCTAGCACTGTAATCAATCAATCAATCAATCAATCAATCCAAAATATAGTCTAGTGAGCTAGGTACATCCTGCTGTGTTTACTGCTGCTAGGATGGGGTCACTTCACCTCCACAGGTTGCTTGTTTCAGCAGGACAGGCAGAGCTTCCCCATGCTTGATCACAGGAGCAGTCCACATGCTTCCACTGTCAACCATTTATCAATACAAAATCTTAAAGCCTTGACAAGGTGTGGATCGGAGCACAGACTTGCCCAGCTCAACACAATGTTTAGAAAGCTGAGCAAAAGCTGGATAAAGATTTCAAATGACAAAACTGTTGACCACAGGTTAGTACCTTTGTAAGTACTGTTGCGTCAGTGAATTCAAATCCCTCCATCTTCAGTGGATTGGTTTTTGTTTTTGCTTTTGTGTGGGCTTGATTTTTTTTATTTATTTTATTTTATTTTTTTGCTGTTATTTTCATAACTCACCCATGTGCTGAAGGGCTGAAGGTCAGGGTAAAAGTGCTCCTTTTGCATGTCTTTCTGAAATATTTCTGGCAAGTTTAATACCAAAAGACAATGGCTTGCACGGCGTCTACTGAAACCATTTCCATTCATCCCCAGTCTAGACTCCCCATGGGACAGGTGGGTCTTGGGACAGGAGGCTTTAATGCCAGTGTGCTCAGGGGGCTATGCCCAATCAGCAAGGGCACTCTGCTCTGCATACTCTCCCTCCCCTGCTGGATCAAGCAATTAACACTCAGAGCCTTCCCTGTAATACAGCCTCCTCTAGAGACTCCCTTCCCCAGTCACAGCTCCCACTGCTAATTCTCAGAGTTCCTTGTCCTAACAGTGATGAATACATTTGCCAAACTGGTGCTTACAGGCCAGATTGCCGAGGAAATAACTGAAGTTGCAGGTTATTCCAAGTGTCACTGAAAAATAACCTCTAGGACTTTCACCAGAGACCACAGTTTCCCACCAGCCTGCTTGCTAGCTGCTTCCTACTTCCTCTCTGCCTCCTTGCCTCTTTCCTCATTGTCTCTTCTTACTCCAGTTCCATCCCCCTTACTCCATCCCAATCTTTCCTTCTGTCCCCCCCTCCCACAATAACCTAAGCCTGTGGGTTGAGTCTTCAGGAGATTATTAAAGAACAAAGTGACAACAGGAAGGGCTGAACATCTGCTCTTTGTGGAGGGCCCTGGAGGTGGCTAGAGCATTAATCAGGTCTGTGGACACCCAGGTAAGGCCAGGCCTCTTCTGTCCTCTTTCTTCTGGTACTAGTGTCCTTCAAGTGCCTTACCTACAATGAAGCCTTTAAAAGGCCATATGTACCCCACTCATTTTCTTGCTATACAGTACTTAAACCTGTGACATCTGCTACTTACTAGCTGGCAAGGAGCTGAGTGACTAGGTCTCCAGCCTGTCTCTTCTTTCAGGCCACTAGGGGTTGTCTGAAGTCCCATGGAGTCTGTCTCTCATCCCTTGGCTCTATCTTTACCTAGTCTGATCTATATACCCAGAGGCAGGAGGATCATATTGCTAGTGGCCTAACCCAGTTTACCACAGTGGTCTCACACCCTGCTCCTGGTCCTGAGCCTCCTCAGCCCCCATTCAGAGTGAAACTCCCACCTGGAAACCAGGTGGCCCTGAACTGAGCAGTGTCCCTGGGGAGGAAGCCAAGCTCTAGGCAAGAAAGTAAAAGTACTACTGTTGCCATCTGGCTTCCAGTCATGCCTCTCCTTCGTGAACCAGCAGTGCATCCTGAATTAGCCTGGCCTAGTATATCCAGGGTTAGCTGCGGCATTTGGCCCCCAAGGGCACAGAATGTCTATACTGCCTGATACTCCTACTGGCAGGCTGGTTCTAGTGGGGACAGGAGTGTTTCTCAGCACAGAGGCAAAGGGGGCCATCATCAGACACTTGCCGAAAAGCTTTGGGATCGTTTCAGAGCAGCTGAGCCAAAGGGTATGTTTTCAATTGCCTAGAAAATGTGATAAGGTTGGAAGGGGCCTAGCAAGTCAGTTGTCACCCAGCTCCACAGGTCTCACCAGTTAGTGTTGAGGCTGCTAGACCCTGGCCACTCAGCACCAAGAAGCTCTACCAAAAGGGAGGGAGGGTCATTGCTGCTCTGTCCCCAAGTCAGGTGTGGCACGCCATAATGGGGGACAAATAAAGCAAAGCCAGGGTCATCTGTTCCAGATTCTAGTCCACAGTCAAGGTAAGCCTCACCTCTGTTTCCTTCTATGGCTCTCCAGATTCCTTCAGGCTGAGAGTCCAGGGCTAGCTCTCACACCATGAAGGGCCCTAGTCCCAAGCCCAGGAGCATGCTGGTACACTCTGCCACCAGACACTCACCATCCTCTTCATCTCCTTGGACACCTGGTTGCCACCCAAGTGGTTGTAGAAGGGGCGCTCGGCTCCCCAGTGGGGTGGGTTGTGCCCGATGGAGTTGGTTCTCTGGCGGTTCATCTTGGCAATCATGGCTTTCTCTTCTTTCTGGAGAGTGACACAGATGTCTGAGTGTGCAGGGCCATGGGAGCCCCACTGGGCAGAGCTGTACTCCTCCCAGGAATAAATGTGAGGCAGCTGTCCTAGCCACTTTGCACAGCCCTGGAGACCCCCAAACGTCTGGGTGTTTGGCACAGATGATGATGAGAGCTGATCTTATGAGAAAGAAAAGGGTGTAGCCACACCTGTCACTTGTAAGAAGTTCTCCCTGCAAGTCTGACCACAGGATTCTGTCCTGGAACTTCTCAATACCAATGTCTTGACCTTTTCCCCTCTGGAAGGCCAAGTTCCCAAAGTCCCATAGATGTACTGCTAACTTGTACCATGCCCTCCAATCTGCTTGTGGGAGGCTCTGTACACTGGAATGTGGGGTTCGGCATATGGTAGGGGTTCTGCTATAGCCTCAGGGGTAGGCAGAGCCTGGGCTGTAGATGCCCAGGGGCTGACAGAGACAGAAGGGCCCTGGGACTCCAAAATCTACTTCTCTCAGCGTCTAGTAATAGGACAGGCCAGCTGCTCCAAAGGCAGCTTCCAAAGAGATCTGTGTCACTGAATTAGAAGAGTCAGGGATGACAGGATTGTAAGTATGAAAATAGAGATGCAGCCAGCTACCTGTGGGCAAGCACTCCTCAAACATATGTCAGTCTGTCTTTCTGTCTATCCAAATGGGCACCAGAGTTAGAGAGTTGAGGAGGTCTGGGGACGCCTGGGGTGGTCCTCCCCACAGTTCTCTCCCTTGTTTGATGTGGGATTTTTAGGGAGACACTTAGCCTGCTTCACCTAACACTGCCAGGGATGAAGCTGTCACACCATCTGTCTGCCTCTACTTCATGCCACTTTGTCAACTGATGGAACCAAGATCCAGAGGACTCAAAGCAAGAAGGTGGGCTGGAGGTCTGTGCACCAGGGGCTGGGAGGAGGGACATGAAAGGGCCCGAGGAAGATCTCAGTTCATTCACACTCTGGTCAAAGAACGAGCAAATGTTTACAAATGGTTCTGGAAAGTCACAAAAAGCTCTCCCCAAAGTGCTCCTCTCTTCCAGTCCGTCTTGCCACCCTTCCTCCTGCTGTGGCAACCAGGACCAAGACCCCTCTCCAGGATGTCTCTCTGCTCATTCATAGTGTCCTGCCCTGCCCCCCTCCCCCCCCCCCCCCCCCCCCCGTAGGCACTGTCCTCTCTGTCCTGTCTCTCCTTAAAAACCTATAGCCTCTATCCAAGACTCTGGATTGTGCTTACACATAGTTATTTTGCTTTCAGGCAAACTCCTGAAGAAATAATAAAACGGGGGTGGGGTTTCTACCAAAGAGCACTGGCCACTAGATAAAGTCAATGGGAAGACAGAGAGCAAGGCAATATAATTTGGAGAGGAAAAAAAAAAAAGCTCTATTCACTTAAAAAAAACAAAAAAAGAACATGGAACATGACACACTTAAAATAGAACACTAAGAAGTCTGCTAACAATTCAGTTTTATACTTTGGCAGATGTGGGCTGAGACAAAGAGAAAAAAAGAAAGAGACCAGAAAGTGAAAAAAAGACAATTTCAAGGAATAAAGTTACAGGGGACAAGAGATGACTCAGCAGGTAAAGGCACTAGCGACCAAGCCTGAAGATTTGAGTTCAATCTCTAGGACCTACGTAGTGGAAGGAGAGAACCGACTCTTGCAAGTTGTTCTCTGACCTCTACAAGTGTGTTGTGATGGACACACTCACTCACACACATACACGAAATGAATATATAATTTTTAAATTACAAAAAGCAGAAACAAAGATATATAGATGCAGGCTGAGGCAGACACCAATACATCCATCAGAGAGAATGAGACAACAAGAGAGAAAGGGAGAACGAGAGACAGAGCGGGGAAAGGGAACAGATGGGGAGAGACAAGAAAAGACAAAGTGTCCATCCAGTAAAGGGTAGGAGCAAGAGAGCAAGTGGAGAGAAATTACACCACTGCAGATTTCCCGCGCTCATCCCCACCCTGTGTCCAAGGAGTCATCCTTGCTCACTAATTTGTGGCCTGTTGCATTTTCCAAGAGAAGTGGAATGGAAACATTCCCTCTTCCACATGAGCTTTGCAGGGCCTCATTCATTCTTGGATCCCTCCTAAGATGCAGGAGTTACAACTGCCTGAGGAATTCATGACTTTCCTCAAGGGAAGAGAAGAGAGGGCCAAGAAAATGCTCCTCCCCAAAGGAACAGAGTCCCCTGCCCCAGCTCCTAGCGCACTGACCCGCTTCTGGGTGCAGCGCAGGATGAGGAAGGTCTCGATGCTGTGCTCCTTGAGGTAGGCATTGCGCTCGCCGCCGCAGCCTGGCTCCACCTCATAGTCCCCGTTCAGGTAGTTGAGTGTGGCCTTGGTGATGTGTATGCGTCTACAGGAAGGAAGGGCAGAAAATGTGAGATGAGAACTCTAGCTCTCAGGCAAAGTCAAACTGCAAGCCCAGCTCAACACAATTCAAATCCCAGGGCCCCAGGCTCTGGTTCAAATGGTCCCCAACCTTGCACAAGTCTCTACCTTATATCAAGATGATACTTCCAGGTCATTTCCAGCCCTCACCTACTGTACCGACTGCCGACTGCCTCTCACACCTTACCTAGCATGAGTGGCTGTACATCAACCTACCCAGGGAGCATGCCTCTGGTCTTACAAACCTCACTTCTGCTCAGAAGTCAGCATGTGATATTTGGTCAAAGGCTTGGATGGTTAAGACAATGGTTTCCCCCTTACAGCTTATCTATGATGTGGGGTATATAATTTTGCTTTGCTTTTCTTTTCCCCCACCTCTGCTACTCCCTGAGTGCTGCAAATTGAATCCAGAGCCTTAATGCATGCTAGACACTACCACCAAGCTACATTCCCAGCACCCTAGGTCAAGGACTCTACTTTAATCCTGCCTACTCCAGCTCACCCTCTCGCAGAGTACATGTCTACCCCAGTCCCACTTCCTTATAACAGTCTCTCCTGGCTGGGTTTGAATGGAAAGGGAACTCTGGACCCTACCAGCTCTCACTCACCCTGCCTTGCCACCAGCCTCCATGTGGTTGGCCAGCGTGACATCATTAGACCAGACGTCGAACTGCCACTTCCTGAGACCAAGGACACCGCAGTGTACTCTCCCGCTGTGAATTCCCACTCGCATGTTCACGTTCACCCCTGTCACCTCCCGGACCAACCTGGGGATGGAGCAGGGGTAAAAGGCTGGGAGAGGGTCAAAAGCCAGGCACACAGAGTAGGGCTGGGGTTGGAAGGTGGGGCTAGGGTGAAAGGGGAGTTGGAAGGCGCAGGGTCAAAGAGGCATTTCTCTCTGGCCCAGCTTGAATGGTTTCTAGAATATTCAATCTGAAGGGAACTGGCTGCAGGGACTCCAGGTGTTTGGTCCTGTGCACAGATGCACAAGGAAAAGTGCTGTTTCCTATCTTGACCACAAGGTGGCAGGGTGCCACACACTAAAATCAAAGCCCCCCCCCCCCCCCGCCCCCCCTTCCCTGCCACTTCAACCTTCAATTAAACTGTTTGGGAGAATTGTAAATGTACTTTAGCACTAACTGGAACCCACGGGGGAGATGTAGTCACCCGGAATCCAAATCATACAACACTCTAGAGTGAAGGCAGGCTGAATGGCTTTGAGGTCATTGATTTTTTTTTTTTTTTTGGATTTAGCCTCATTGCTCCTTCCTCAGTGCTAGCAGGATACTGGAGGAAGGTGGCCCCCAGGATTTCAGGCGGGGGGCATATGTAGGAGGACATAGGAAAAGGGGAACCTGGGCCCCTACAAGACATCCCAGTCCCAGCCACATGCACATGTACACAAGGGTCCCAGCAAATGGGCTGGACTCCCTCATACTGGGGGTGCAGCGGAATGAGGAAGTTTCCTGTCTACGTCTGGGGTTCACAGCCTAGCCAGGGTCTGCAGAAGAGAGTACGGGGGGGTATGGATAGTAGGTTAACACTTTTGAGGGACTAACCTTCTCTGATACTCTGAGCATGGGCTCATTCACTCAACTCTGAGACCAGTAGTTTTAACTTGGTCTGGTGGGCAGGGCCACACCTTAGACTCTCTGTCCTCCAGGCCCAGGCCTCAGAATCTCTGCCCTCCAACACATTTCAACTGTAGAAGAGACTCTGGATATCCTCATTTCTTTTGTCCTGGGAGCAACTTGGAAAGCGTGGGTACTATAGCAGTCCTTTTGTCCATGATGACTGTGGACATTTACTTAGGATGATGACACTTTCTTCTACTGTTTCTCTTTTCTTTAGAGCAACCTCCTTCCTGAAGCCTCTCTCAATCTTTAATGGAATCAACTTCTCCTCCCCACAATGGCTTGCCTCTCTTAACCTTGTGTGCCCACATAACACACCTTCTATCAGAGCAATGAGAGACCAGTCCTCCCTACTAGGAATGCACTGTGCTTCGGGACAAGTTACTGTGTAGCCCAGGGGAACTCAGCGGATGTAACTGTGCCAAATCAATGGGCCCAGCCACATTTCTGGCCAGCCACTCTGACCTCTGATCTTACCATCTATCTTTTACTTTTCCCCACTCAGGCTATTTCTAAAGTCCAGAGTTACAAACTTGGACAATCTCTGACCCATCCCCCTAATTGTGATGCAGACTTAGACTGTGCACATTTTTCAATAACAAGGGGCTCCTTCCATGGGCAGTAATAACCGAGATCTGGTCCAAGCACCTTGCTGTTGTTCACAGGAAGGGTGGATCACCTCCTGTGTTTGAACCCATCTGCCTGGGAGTATTAGCCTGGAGGAAGTGGGGCTGGTGTGTTTTACAGCCAGTGAGGGACTGAGAAGCGATGAGGCACTGGGGCACAGTCCACTGCCTCAGGCATGGCCATCCTTGCCTGGAGCCAGCAGCTTCCCTCCCTGGTACCTCCTCTGGGAAAGCTGTCCCACCATAGGGTGAAAGGAGGGGCAAGGACAAAGGCCAGGGTGCAAACCTGTCTACTGGCCTAGCAGGGGGCCTTGGGCAATGGCTTTGTCCCACTATTTCCCTGCCTCCATCAGTTTATTCAACAGTCAATACTGAGGCTGTGGGACAGTCCCCTGGAATGGACAGCTCCAGAGGTAGGCACTTACGAGATGGCCTCGATCATGTCCATGCCCATCTCTACGCAGCAGTGGGCATGGTCGGCCCTGGCTTCAGGCAGCCCCGAAACGCAGTAGTAACAATCCCCCAGGATCTTAATCCGTAAACAGTGATTCTCCTGGAAAGCAAATGAATTTTGGAAAATCCAAACTAGTGGGAAAGATAGTGGGAGGGAAAGAAACGGAAAGCAAACAGATTCACCCATGCCTGGTGGGAGTTGCCTTCTAGAGCAGTGAGCATAGCTCCAGAGCCAGGATTGGCCTGGTCACAACAAAGGCTGTCAGGAAAGGTGGGACAGGGAGGATAGGGGTCTGGGGGACAGGTTAAGCAGCACTCAGCAAGGCAGCACAGCCTCCCCAGGCCCAGGAGATTTTTTTTTTCCTAAGCAAGCATCCCTGGCCCCATTCCACGCCCCAGAAGCACACCCCTGATTCTTAGGATTCTATCAACAGTTTTGATTATTATATAAAAGACTGAAGCAAGTAAGTCTGGCCTGGCATCCTGTCTGCAAATAGGGCCTGTGTTCTGTGCCAGTGGATACTGTATTAAGTGGCCACTTACATGTCATGACTCTACAAAGGCCCAGTCTGGGGAAGAGTGAGTGAAAGCTGGGACCTAATGGAGTGAGTGTCCTGTTGGCTGCTTCCTGTTGTGTGTTCTCCAAGTACTGGAGAATTCTGTTTCTGGAAACATCTAGGAAAGGCACCCAGCTGCCTGCAGGCCAGGTAGAGATTAAGACTTATTCTCTCATCTCTCAGGCCAACCTCATCAGGAATGTGGCTCTGTGGCATCTGATCTGCCTCAGATACACAGAAATTCTACTGTGGGATTGGGCAGTATGAGCTGCAGACGGGCACAGAGACAGCCTACATGCCCCTAAAAACCTCATGCCAGGGAAAATGTCTGTGACTGTGTTGTCAGGGCTAGTGTGGGACATAAGGACACATTCGGCAGCCTGACTGGCTCCTCTGCCCATCACCAGTGCCCAACACCAAGCTCTGCCCAGCAAGGCACAACCCTGGGATCAGTGTGTCCTCCACTTCAGGGCCCTCCTATGACCAGTCCAGCCCAGGCCATTCTCTGGTCCATGCTCAGGGTGACTCACCGCAGCCAACTTGTCAAAGCGGGCGAAGAGCTCATTGAGGGTCATGACAAGTTCCTGGGCAGTACACTGGGATGCCAGGCTGGTGAAGCCTTCGATGTCAGCAAACAGGATGCTTAGAGACAGGAGGAAGAGGAAGACCTGCTGTAGACTCAATATCTGTCCCCCACATCCACACAGTAAATCCTAACTTAGCCCAATGTGAGGATACTAGGAGCCCAGACATACTGGCACTCTGGTCTCAGACTTCTAGATTCCAGAAGTGAGAAAGTTGTTCATAAGCCACCTAGTGTTACAGCCTCGTGAACAGACTAGCCTTCACAAAGGAGGAAAGTGTGGGATGTGGCCAGGAACTAGCCGGAGCACCCCAAGTTCTAGGATGGTTATAGCCAGTAAGAGTCCTAGGAGACTCCCCAGGCTCTAGGATGGCTATACCAAGAGTCCAAGGAGACTCCAAACAGCTGCTGGGCATGGGACAGAGGCCCTGGTGTTGGAGAACAAGGACCCTTGCTTCTCCTGTGGGCCTGGCAGCCCCCTGGTCCTCTTCTTTCTGAACTCTCTCAACCAAGAAGATAGGAGGCCAGAGAGTTGTGAGCTTTATGAGAGTCCTCTAATCCCCAGTCATTTTGTAGGCCTGCTCCTGTTGGCCTCAGCAGCCCCTACCCCAAAGGGTCTTTATACACCGTCTCTGAAAAGTGCTATGGGTCAGAATGATACTGCATAAAGACCTCTCACTTCCCAGTCTCAAGCAGATCCCAAGCTCTCCATCCTGGGGGAGGTTTCTGGAGAGGAGAGACTGAAAGAGAAGCATGGAAGAGCAGAGGAAGACACAGCAGACAGCATCTGAAAGCCCCCAACTCCTCCATCCAGCATGCCAGTGTCCCCGACCTCACCATCCAAGGGAGCAGCCAGCTGTACCAGTCAGCTGTGAATCTTTTTCCCATTTCTGTGGCCCCTATCTCTTAGGTTGAAAAACTCTTTAACTTCAAAATAGACTACAAGAGGGAAGGCCCAGAAGCTAGAATGTACAAGGACCCCTAAAGGTCTGGATATTTTTTTTTCCTTAAAAAGAACACAAAATGCTCTAACTCTCATGGACTGAGCTGCTCCTGGTAGCTGGGCACTGAGCTGTGTCATCTCACAGAGCCCTACATCACCCTGCAGCCTGCAAAGCCGGAGTCAGGCCTCAGAGAAGAAGATGGAGACTACAGCATGGAGGGACTCCTTCTCAAGCCTGTGCTTTCCCCAGTATACCTTCTTGAGGACCCAGGGCCCACAGACCTGGTTTCAAAATTAAGAATGAAGAACTAAATACATTTTGTCATTTTATTCCAAATGTCTACTGCTGTGCTGACATCATTTATTTTTAATCAAAAAATTTAAATGATATGTGTATATATGCATATACATGTTTATATGTTCATGTTCATATATGTGCAGGTACATGTGCACATGTGTGTAGAGGCCAGAGGTTGACACTGGATGTTTTCCTAGGTCACTTTCCACCTTATTTTCTGAGATAGGATCTCTCAGGAACCTGGAGCTTGTCAATTTGCTAGACTGGTTGGCCAGCAAAGCCCAGGCATCCTCCTGCCTCCACCTCATCAGCGCTAGGGTTACAGGTATGCTCTGCTATGCCCAGCTTTTTGTGGGGGGGCTGGGATCCAAACTCAGGTCTTCATTCTTGCACAGGAAGCATTTTATTGGCTGGGCCATTTTCCCATCCCATCTTTTTTATTTATTGAACTTGATAAACTGTGACTATTAATGACATTCACTCCGTGAATGATGTTATATACAATGTAGAACAATCAAATGCAAGCCAAGTAACATACCCATCACCTCAGGTACTTATCACTTATTCCTCCAGTTTAACCGACACTGTGCTCTTAAATGAACATGGCTTCTATTCTGATGCTATCTGTGGGCTTCCTGACCCTCCCAGGGCTAGCCATCTCCTAGAGACAGTGAACAGCTTACTTAGTGTGAACTTTTCACATGCAGGCAAGCCATGTGAGAACCACCCACTCAAGACTCTGATCATTTCAGGAATCGGGACAAGCTGGGATAGCTCCCATATCCCAGAAGTCCCCCGGGGTTATCCAAACTAGCCAGTCAAGAACCTCCTCACCCCACCTTATCTTCTTCCCAAGGACACACAATAAAGGTTCTGGCCTGCGTTTTCCTTCCCTTCCTCTGCCTCCTATGGGGCCCAGAGTGGCATGTCCTCCACTAGGGAACTATAACCATTTTTTCAAGGGCAAATGCCTACCACCTTTTGGCCTCACTACACATAACACCACACACAACATAAATAATAATAAACCAATATTCAGCTCAGTGGAAGAGTGCTTTCCTACCATATATGAGGTCCTGAGTTCTATCCCCAATACCACAAACAAAATTAATTAAAATAATAAAAGCAATAAAATATATTCCTTAAACCTCCTTACATATATTTATTCAAGCCTCTCACAACTACCCTATGAAGTTAGTGCCCCACTTTCAAAGATAAGAAAAATTGAAGCAGAGAAATACTGAATCACCACTGATTATAAATAAATACTGAGGGGCACAAGGGCATCCTCACTACCCACTCCAGGAGTACAACCAGTATGTATTATGGGATCACTCAACGCCACAGTCATCTCAAGGAATAAAGCATCCTGTGATGCTCTGGCAGTGCCTACAGGAAGGAGGCACTTTCCATGCGGCTCACCGGATACACAGAGCAAACCACCAGGGCCCATGGAAATAAGCTGGATCATCAAGAAATGCATCCTGCACACGCCTTTAATCCCAGCACTCAGGACACAGAGGCTGATGGATCTCTGTGAGTTGGAGGCCGATCTGGTATACATAAAGCTCCAGGCCAGCCAGGGCTACATAGTGAGACTCTGTCTCCAAAAAACAAAGGAACAAAAAAACACACAAAAAAGAAAGAAATGCATCTTGGGGTTTGGGTCAAGCTATTCCAGGAAAAACACAAGAGCAGTTACTAGGCCCTGGGCAGAGCCAGTTCCATACCTGGGCTCCTCCAACCTCCAATTCCAGTCTAGATCAGCAGTGGGAATGCCAGGAGAAAGGTCAGAAAGAGTGAGAGAAATGGACAAGGATGTGGCAAACAAGAGGACAGGAAGGAAAGGTGAGGAGGACACCTGAGTGTCCCGTCGGATACCGTGGGCTGTGGATTAGGGATGAAATGGAGAGTGGTGTCTTGAGCTGTGACACTGTCTACCTACAGGTTGGTTTGCTGCACGCCCACAGAGAGGCTACATGGGCAACCTGGCATACTGGGGTGACAGTGTGTTGCCCCTAACTTGGTCCATCTTCTCCTCCCTGTCTCTCAAGGGAGAAAGAGGAAGTTCCTTCTAATCTCTATAAAAAGCACCTATTACATTGCTCTGGAAATTCTTTCTTCCACGAAACTAAAACCAAGGAAAACAGTGAAGATCAGCTGCACATGAGCAAAGGAGGCGGCTCAGTGAGCGTCCTCTTAGCCAGCATCAGTGTTTCAACTGTGGGTTCACCATATACCACACTTGCTGGCTGGTTCACCCTGGGACTGAGGCTTTGGGACCCTGAAGTAAGAAAGAAAGTCCCCTAGTTCAGCAGAAGCAGGGCTGTCATAGGGTCAGGTAGCCCCAGCTCCAAGCACGGTAGAAGAGCTGAGGAGGAAGAGGGTGGTCCCAGAAACATGAGGCAGAGGTATGTGGACCTCAAGGCCTCACTGAGCCCTGAGCTCACTGAACCACTCAGAAGAGACAGGCCTCTGTCACCCAGGTGGTGTGAGGCTCAGCCTGTTGATCACTGGCCTCCACAGAAGACTTTGGTCTTTTCTCTACCACCATTCTCACTACCTGAGATTAGCACAGTCCCTGGGCTGGTGTCCCTTAGAAATCCTCAGGGAGCTTTACTGTGGAGAGGCCTCTCAGCCCCAGCTCCAGGGATTCTGACTTAATCCATCTGAGATGGGGCTCTGCTATGACTGGCTTTTTTGTTCCTTTTTGTTTTATTTGAAGTCTCTCTGGGGGTTCTAATATGCAGCTAGGGATGAGAATCACTGTACCAGCTTAAATGGCACCTTCTCCAGAGGTTTCCACTGCCCTGATTTAAACTTAAAACCACTCATTATGTGCATCACCTTCCCTGCTACATTTTTCTCTATTGCATTTTCATTATTTAATGCAGTAGTCCACCTCATCTACCATTTCAGCTACCTGCAGTCAACTGTGGTCCAAAACTATTATGTGCAATATTCTAGAAACAACTCATTTGTAGGCTGTAAATGGCACACTGTTCTGAGTAACCTGAAGACATTTTGTTCTATTCCACTCAGTCTCACCTGGGACATGAGTCATCTCTTTGTCTGGTAGGGTATCCACGCTGTATATGCCACCTGCCTAGTAGTAACCTAGCAGTTATCTAGGTTATAGATCTACTACTGTGATTATCACAGTGCTGTGTTCAGGTAGCTTTATTTTATTTCATAGTGGCTCCAAACCACAAGAATAGGGATGCTGGCAATTTGAATATGCCAAAGAGAAGCTGTAAAGTATTCCAAAGAAAAGCTGTAAAGTGTTCCCTTTACACTGAAAAGGTGAAAGTCCATAATTTAGTACACATAGAGAAAATGCAGCATAGACTGGATTACTGACTATGTGCTGAACAATCTGATCAGGCAGGCCTCCACTGGAGGTCTTGGGAAGCATCCTCCATGGATAAGGGGGTGTGCTGCACTACTTACTACATTGTTATTTATCACTTATGTTCTTGTTTATCTTTCCTCTCTAGAATGTGAACTCTCTGAGGGAAACATTTCCATTTATTAGACTCACTGCTGTATCCTAGTCCTTATAAAATCTGCATTTGAAGGACTGACTGACTGCGGACAGGCCCTGTCTGCTTTACCCTGAGCTCTTCCCTCCACTCCACCAGTGCAATTTCCAATACATAGTAGCTGCCCATATTAGTTTATAGGATTGCCATGACAAAGTAGCTTAAACATCAGAAATGTATGTTCTGTGTCTGGAGGTCTGAAGTGAAGATGCTGGCAAGGCCAGGGCCATGCTCCCCCTGAGACTTGTGCTTCTGGGGGTGGCTGTAATCTCTGCT